AGTGGAATGACATGCGAGTCCTTTGTGAAAGGGCATTTCGCTCACAATTCCGAGGGCTTTCTTCAGCTGTGTCAACGCGTAGGTCGGTGGGTGCTGGTGAATTTCGTGTGGGTGCTGGCAGGTGATCATTGAAAACATGTGTGCAACGTGCTTTCGGTTCGGCGTGGTGAAGTGGGGCCTGCTTCACCACAAACAAGTGAACCTGGTGGGAGGAATCACCGCGCCCATTGGCGGTGCGAAAGCCACACCATGATGGCGGCGGTTTTCGCATCGAACGGCTTGAGCAGTTTTGTGGTTTTGAGCGGGTGACTCAGACCAATTTATGCCGATGTAGTCGGGGCACATGTCCTTCACGTAAGTCCGTTGGTACTACATCCAACTCTCCAATGTTGAAATGATAACGCGGGGCACGACCAAGGGTGTGGTCAACAAACAGGTGTGCGGGTGCCCGATTAGGAGTTCCATTATCATTACCACTGAAGGAACTGGCATGGGGTGTCGTTCCTTTATGGTGCACAAATGTTTCCTGCTGATCCTGGCCACAAAGGAAGAAAGGAATCTTTCGATCATGGTAGTTAATTAAATGTATTTATTAGAAACAATAAGCTACTAGGAACAAGTGCATCGCTTCTAGTAACAAGTGTCTTACTAGTAGTAACAAGAAGCTATTAGCGTAGTTAATAAGTTAATTACATGTATTTACGGTGTTGGGCGACTTGGTCGGACCGATGTCTTCCCCTCAGGTCCTGCAGCGTGGGGCCCACCTTCCAGCGAACGCACACCAGTGGTCTCTACGTGGGCTGAGGCGGAGCTGCCCAGAAAAGTCAGTCGCTAACCTTGAAGTATTAACACACCTTACTACTAGCAACTAGTAGAAAGAAGCGATATTTTCAGGCCTTCCCATGGACGTAGATAGTCCTTTTCCTCCTGTCCAGGGAAACGGAAGGGTTCAGGATACAAGAGCCACATGTCGGCCAATGGCACAGCGAGACTGTCCCTAGGAACAAGGGAAGGGAAGCACTTTGCCGTGGCAGGTTTGGGTCGGGTGGTTTTGCCAGTCCGGAGGGCTTGGTTCCCGGCCATGGCACGTGTGGAGGCTGTTTGACACGGTGTTCCACCTGTGTTTGGGTGCTGTCCCCCTCTTGAACTCTTCGGAGAGTATCTTCAAGGAGTTGCCCAAGGGCTTGGTCGCCCCTCGTGTGACGCAGAAGTATTTCCATGTCAAGCCTGACGCCAAACGTGCCCTTTGGCGTCAGGCTTGACTGATGTTGGTTCGTTGAACCGCTTGTACCAGATCTATATACATCAAGAACCCCGACACATCCATACAGCAGCAGGGGCTCAACTTGATGTTGCACGGTTTGAATCAGGATGCTGGAAGTGATGGCACTCATTCGTTGGCAGCTTCCAGCTGAAGCTTTGGGAGAATCGGACCTTTTGCTCTGGCTGGAGGTGCAGCTTGTGACCTGTGTCTTGTCATCTGCGATCCAACGACGGCCACCAACTTCGACGCCAGGCCGCCCACGAAGCCGTACGAAGCCCTCTTTTCTTCGCAGCAGGGACCGTCGACCCTCCTTGGCGCACAAGGATCACAGATCCTTCTTGGAGCATCTATCTATACCTCGAGGCTACAGCGCCCAGGGCAGGGGAAGCAGTCTTATGGCTGCAGGCATTGTCACATGCGCCGACAAGACGAACTGCGGGCCCAATTTGGCCGGCGCTCGACATTGCAAGCTTCAGGCTCTCGGTAACATCCTCATGCGAACAACGCGGCCAATTGGTAATTTACTTGGACTTGGAGCAATGGAATTGGCGGACGGGCTCTAATTAACCGGCGCCCATTGACGACGCCTCCCCAACGAGGCCATGGTTTTGTTGGTTCTTTTCTGGCCGCGCTTTCACTTCGTAGATGCGATTTGAAGGCCGCGTTTCGGCGCGCACCTCTCCACCATACCCGTCTTGAAGCTCATGCAAGAGCTGAGCGGATTCAGCTCTTCCACGAGTTTTTCAAGACGGGTGTGGTTGGTATGTGTGGTGACATTGAGGGACCGTGGGGCAAGCGCATAACTCCCCTGAAACATTGCAAGTCTCACTCCACACAATGCAAGCAAGCTGACCAAAGGAGGAAGTCCATCCTTGTGGCGACCTCTTAAAAGGAGGGGGTGACAGATAGTTCAGGAGGAAAGACATGGCTTCGAAAAAAGGATCATTTTCCAACCCCTGGTCAACTGGAGATGCTTTGTCTCTATGATTGGCCTTTCCTGGAGCCATTCTATAGACAGGGGTTGTGGACACAAGAGTGGGCAACCTGGAATGTCATTAATTAGTTATTAACAGTATATAATATATAGAGGAAAACCTGGCGATGCCGTTCAGGAAAAGAAGATGTGTATATATACATATGGAAACCTGGATACACAAATGATACGCATTCATTTGCTGTATTCTATTATTCATTCATTAATGTCCATTTCATGGTGGCAATGTATTGTCCGCTAATCTGTAGAGCGCAGTCATGAAATCCGGTTTTCCATGGTTTTCCATTTGGTGGGAAGAATCATTATGATCCAGCATGCGAAAAACAACCTGTCAACCTACCTGGTTGTCAGGTTATCCATCATAGAGTTCTTTGTTTCGGTTGATCCTTCGGCGAAGCCGCCGTTTCACCGCCAGCTTGGCTGTCGACTCATTTTTCAGATGCTCGGGGAAGACTCCAACGTAGAGCCTTTCCCCACTCATCCAACAGACCTTTACAGACACCGCGAATCGATGGTTGGTGGAGTAGGACTGTCACCGTTGAATCGATGAAACTTGAGTTGGACTGCTGCCCAGGTGTCACTGGATTCTCCCTCTCGAGGCGGGCTGGCAAGTTCAGGGCTCCAAACCCTCCGATATAAACCCCGAACATCCAGCTCCAAACGAAAGAGGGCAGGATGCTATGCGGGCTTGGTTTGCGGTGCTTTTATCGTTGTACAGCATTGTGTATTTCATGCTGTAGTGGTTTTTGCTGTTTCAGGTTCTGTTTGGTTCTGCTATATTTCTATTTGATTGTATTTTGATTGAGTCAAGAAACTGTCCGTCGCTAATGAACACAAATATAGGATAATATGGGTAAAAATGGACATCGGAGCCAATTCTCAGCAATATCAGAAGAGAAAACCGGCACTGGGGATTGGCTTCAAGACTTGTGCATCGGCAAGATCCTCCTTTTGTGATTGGCGACCTGTAGGGTAGTGATAATAATGTATATAATATATTGTCTTTACAGTAGGTGTTTCAAGTATTGTTTTTACTTCTTTCTTCACCGCTTTGGTGTGGACTATAGCCGAGAAGATTGGATGCCATTCATGTAAATTCCGCCAAGATGTTGTCCCTACATTTGAAACATACACCACCAGCCCAGGCTGGTGTCAATTTCAACATGGAAATTACTGAGAGTCGACAGGCACCAGCATAATATCAAATGGCTTTGCACAGCGAATCCACCTATCGTCACCTTCCATCACGCTTTCTCCTGCGCGGCGCGCCAGCGCGCCAGGGCCGCTCATCGGACTTGCCCGGGGGTCGACTGGGGGCAGCGCGATGAGGTCGCTGCTGAAAATGTGTTGTGAAGAATTCTGAAGAATGTTTGGCAGGATGACTGGCGTTTCTATCCAGGCTGTTTTGCGTAGTGAGCAGTGAGGAAGAACAGAGATGCCTAACAGGGCCTAACAGGCTTTCCCATTTCCACTGGAACCGCCCACATCAAGCATCGAGGGTTTTCATCCTGAATGAGGAAGATATTGGGACGTATAGATTGTGGCGTTGGTTTTGAGAGGCACGACACCCTCCGCCTCAGGCAGATCAGTTCTTGAGGTTTGTTTTGATGCTTTGCTGGTGTCCGGAACGTATGTTAGATAAGGACAGCCATATTTTTGCCTGATGTTTTCCATTTTGAGAGGGCTCGTCGCAAAGTTGCCTCTGAACAACTTGGCCAATGTCCACGAGATTGCACGAGGGCAGGTTTGCAAGTATAGTGATGCCGGATGCCGGTTGGAATGAGGCTTGACATGACTTCACTAGCCGACTATAGATGAAACATGATGGAACCACCCTTTGAATGAACACATCAGCGCGCCTTGCAAGGTTCCGAAAAGCGGTCAGAGTAAGGTGGGGAGCCATAAAACGACCCACACAGCGCAGCAAATCCATGCAACTTCTTCGTGCTGGATGGAAAGACATGTGATGGAAAGAAATTCATCCTCATTCCCGCGAAAGGCATTGGGTCATTGGGTGACATGTTGTGACCCTCGGTCGTTTTTTCTTCAGCTTTTGGGATCGCGCTTTTGGTGCGCCATTGCTCCGTAGTTTTGCACTGCTTCACCGCTGTAGCAACTCGTTCCACTGCACAGTGAAACGGACATCGGCAGCAAATAGCTGCTGGAGCAGTTGGAACTGCTGCAGGGATCATGATCATTGCTTGCATGAAAAGTTGAGTTGGAGCACCATGGAGCGAGTTTTATCAAGTTGTGCCAAGATCTATATGTACAGAATCATAATATATATATATATACACCTATATTCTTATACATCATGCCCACAATAGACCTCACTCCCAACAGTTGCCCTCGGCCTCGCTGACCATGTTGTTGAATGATGGTAATCAACTTAGACAGGCTCAAATGTGAGCTGTGGTGCAACGAGGATTTGCCAATGGCAATGCTGCACTCAATGGGTTTGGCATGGTTTCACCATGCCTGAGGGATGACATGATGAGTTCTGTGTTCTTTTTGTTGCACCCAGGAATGTTAACATGGAACCTGAAAGTGGACCTTTGGAAGACTATGTCCCTCTTCAACCCAGTGGTTTTCCTTCATTGCTAGCAGCCCCTAGTAGCGTCCTTGCTCCTTGTAGCGATGCCAGGAGCCCCTAGTAGCGTCCTTGCTCCTAGGGAGTCATCAGATCATCAGTGAATCGGTCGGTGGCCCATGGGCCCATGCAGCATATCCCGTGATGCCGAGGCCTGCGAAGCCTCCTGTCATGGCTCACCGCACAGCCCTGGTGGGTGTCGGCATATGCCTAGCACTGAGCAAAAGGGAGAAACGGCCGAGCAGCCATGACCTCGCTCTTAAAACGATGAGTGTGTGGACATGTCTACTAAATTGAGGGAGCCCGTGCAAACTTGGAGGGCTGATGGCTGATAATTTGTGTGCTGCTTGTTTTCCTGCCAACATGGAGGCTCTAATATATAGGCTCAACAATGGGAAGAAAGATGCAATGACATGGAGCAGAGTAACCCCAAAGTGCCGGCATACCCATTTTGCGGTGGGAGATAATGGGAGGTATGTTATGTTTTGGGTACGTTACCAAGGACGCTACTAGGGGCTCCTGGCCTTACTACTAGGAGCAAGGACGCTACTACGGGCTCCTGGCAATGCTACTAGGAGCAAGGACGCTACTAGTAGCTAGGGCATAACTAGTAGCAACAAGGCCTGCATGCTTTACCCCAACTTGAAAGAACAAAGCCACGTGTCTCGCCGAGGTGTGTGCTTTTGGCATGAGCATCATCAGCTTTGCAGGCTGAAGAGCATCTCTTCGTTCGGTTTGGTCTCCAGTCCTCTCCTCTTCCAGCCTCCCTCTTTCAGGATCTAGTCAGTGGATTTCTTCCACTTCTGGGGTTGAGCTGTGATAGCAGTTTTGTCAGCGATGCGCCATCATTCAGTGCATTTCTCGCAAGTGCACGTGGAAGAATTGCATCTTGCATTGGGGAGCTTTTGCTGGAAGACTGACGTTGCATGTTGCGTTGTGCTGTAGAATGCACATGTGCTATTGGCATGCAGCTGGGGCTCCAGCTGCATGCTCGAGGTGATTATATATGATTAAATGATATGCTTAATTAAAATTAGACACTCCAAACCCATTCTCTGAAGGTAGTTGGACCCTCTGGTCTTTGGGATCCAGTTTTCGTTTCCAACGGATGGATGAGACCCTGGTCAGTCATATATTGCATATCATGGTATGACTGGGTCATTCTAAGGCCCTCAAACGTGGGAAGTGGTGGCAAATCCACACAGATCGCCACCCCTGAAAGGGGGTTCCAGGCGCTGCTTTGATGATCCCCTTGCAAGTGCGTAGGCGCGAGCGGAGGGCTCTGAGGCATCGGATTAGCCGCTAGCGAACTTGGCCTCTTCGTGCGTGGTAGAGGGGTCAAATGTATGGTTTACATCATGAGATTTGGCACGGGACTGATTTAGGAACTGACATGCCTTGCCAAACGTTTTGGTGGGGTGGGTTCGGCCATCCATGGTCCGGTGAACGGCATGACAGAACTGCGTGCTGAAAAAGGACACATGCCTGCAGCAGAGGCTCAAAAATTCTGACCTGGTGCTGACACATTTCACCCGGAGATGGCGTCGTTTGTGTTATACTGGGGCCACATGAATCGTGGCGGACGCTTGCCGATGACAAGGTAAGACATGTACTGATCGGGTACTGTACTTGAGTTTAGGTTTGGTCTGAGTGTTCTACCCCAATAGCGGGCTGTTAGTATTAACTGAGGCCAGGATAACCTCAAGTTGTTCATCAACGAAGACCAGACACCCTTTGCTACACTCAAGCACAGGCGACGGGTTGTCAAGATACCGATCGAGCTTCCAGACGTTAGCTGCAGAGTTCGATTCGAGGGGAAGCTGTGGTATGAAAAGCCCGACGGCAAAGGAACTCAAATTCTATTCAAAGCTTCTCGTGAGGCAGCCACCCTTGCAGACAAAGAAGTGGGCTTGGTAGCTGGAGCCATCGGAGCCACAATTGGGGAGTTTGAAGTCTTTACATTCATTCGGCAAACTGCAGAGCTGCCAAAGCCGTTCCAGCAAAAGTCTGGCCATCGGCGTGTGGAGATCTATGTGTTTGAGAACGATGCCACAATATCATACCAGGACGGTGAGGGTGCACATGAGAAGTCTTTGACGAAGCATTCAATTACTGAGCTTTTTATTCCTGGTACCTTCTGCTGCGAGTTGCCTGGGAAGATGAGGAGTCAATACGATATCCACGACTTTCACCAGAAACAATTCATGACCTTCTATCCCGGAGGGCCCGAAGACATCGTCTTCACCGAAGTGGGCACAGCTCGTGCCTCGCCAGAGCCGCCAGCGCCGCAAGCGCCGCAAGCACCCGAAGACCAAGCGCCATTGATAGCAGGCTCTCCCCAAGCACCGCGTGTGGAAGAAGCAGGTCTATGTGATGCCTGTCCTTGCAGCATCCAGTGAAGCGCAACTTGGACCACAAGTATCTAGGAATCTAGGTCATAGATGTATTGCCTCTATAAACCAGACCTTTATTTTTTGGAGTGTGAGGTTGTACAACACGTTACCTCAGCTTGTTGATTCTGCTTTCGCTCCAGGATGACACAGAAAAGAACGTGTGTGGGTGTGCGCAGGTTGAGCTCAGCTCATTGCTGTACAGGTCAGCTCATCGCATGGCGCCGGCATGCGCCGGCTGCCACGGAGAAGAAGGCCTGCCCTCACTTTTCCTTGGTAGCCCCTTTTTTGTACCGCTGAGCGGAAGTACATTTCGACCACATGTCGCATGTCGCGCATCAGTCAGTGGCTTGCCATCGTTGACACTGCCCCCCCGTGCATTTGCAAGTGCAGTGGGTTCAGAGTAGATTCTGTAGATGGACTAGTGACTAGTAGATGGCACAATCCCCAAAAGGTGGTTTGCATGGACCCCCCATCTACAGGACATCTTCAATTTTGTGCCATCCACTCTGAAACCACTGTACCGTTGTAGACAGCTTCAAGACTGGGCAGAAGCACAAGACACTCTCGACCAAGCCGAGGCCGAGGCCAGGTTCTTCGACTCCTGAGCCAAAGAAACTCCTGAGCCAACTTCTCATCAGATCCTATCATGAAATCGATACTGATTAAGCAAAAGGTTCTCCCCTTGATTAAGTTGTTCAATTTGGTGTTTGCCCTCTTGTTTTTGAGTTGAATGTGATGCTTCTTTTGAGAGCTTGGCGCTGAACAATGCTAATATGTTGACAAGGTTTATTTGCTTCCTCCTTGGCATGTCAGCACTGCAATCAGCCAAAGTGTGCCAAGTTGATTCTTGCCATTCTACAGTTGAAAGATGTTGAAAGCCTGCATGTCCAGATTCCTGAAATCAGGCACCACCAGTTGCAAGAATCGGGGAATCATTTGTCATTTGTTCCACGGAAACCAGGAAATTAGCAAAAACTTGCTCTAGAAGTGGGTTGAAGACGATCATCTCCACAGCTGCGGATATGAGGAGGTCTGACTGTTTGATCAAAGCTGAACACCATCCTCACGACCGTGAGGAAGTAAGTGTCCTCATGACGGCAAGGTCTCAGCCAAAGGCTTCAACCATACCGTCAGGTGAAAATATGATGTATTCCCGTTGCTTGCTGCAATCAGGGAGAGTGATACAGGTGTTTCGAAGATCTGTGCTGTTTGGACGGCCCCTTTCGCGTGTTTGTTTCTGAGGTTGGGACGACAAAGGCTATGCCATTTTGAGAGGGGTGGCGAGCGTTCAGAGTTTCATATATTTCCCCCGTATAGGTCACCACTCTGGAATAAGCGAGCTGCCCTTCAAGAGGCAAAATCTTTGCAAGAACCCAGGGGTGGGCTCTGGAAGACAACAGTACATTGATCAAGCGACGCAAAGCACCCAACTAAATCATGATGGGTTCCTCAACAGTTTTTTAGGAAGGTAGAGCCACAGTAATAGAATCAACCCAAACAATATCCAAACAATATTGTTTTTGCATATATAGTCCCTTTTTCTTTCGCGTTGCGCACAGGATTGCAGCCATGGTGGAATACTCTAGCTTGACCTTTGCAGCCACGGTGCTGTCGCCCAGTTGTTGGAAGAGGTTGGAAGGTTCACGGGTGGTGTTTCAAGTAACAGGACGTAAGACGACTTGCCTTCTCGATGGCACTATTGGGGCAGAAGGGTTGGTGTTTACGGGTCCATGGCATGTACTGTTCAGGGTTCGACCCCGAGACGCTGACACTCCTGGGAGAGGTTTGAGGCAAACCGAGTGAAGCTTGAGAAGTTTTGAATTCATTACTGAATGCGCAGGTTCGCGCGGAAAGATGTGCAAAAGCAAAACAAGTTGTTCAAAGACAGGTGTGTCAAGCCAAAAGGGTTCCAACATGAGCCATAATGTAGTTCTACAATGGCCCTGGACTGCTTGATAGGCAGGCTCACACCAGTCTCGGGTCCCTGTCATTTTTGCTTCCAGTAGATTGTCCGGGGATGACTAAGATGAACTGTACCGATAGTTGGGCAACTGGTAGCAAATCCCACAGTCAACGGCCGTTCCAGATCCAGCTGTCGAGACTCGAGACTCGCAGAAGAACCATGTATCACAAATCACCGGCACCGAAGATCACTGAATCAAGCTTTGGTTTGTTTCATGATGTTTTATGTTTTTACCCTTTCATTTGAACATATAGGAACCTACTCCAACACACCATCTTTGGTTGCCCAGCCCAGGGCCATCCGACTCCGTCCTCGATCGACCAGGTCTTGGTGGCCGACGCCTTGGTCCACCTGCTGCCGCATGCGCTGGAGGCAGCTCTCCGCGGACGGAGACGAGACAGCCGCTCGCTGTTGCGGCTTCCTCCGAGAAAAGGACCCAAAGAGAGAGAGAGGTCAGAAGAGCGGTTTAGGATGGTTTAGGGTGTTTAGTTGATTTTTAGGTGAAATGCTCACATGCATCAAAAACTAAATAGCGACCTATCGAGAGAGTCGGTTCCGAGACTCCAAGGTCCAGAGCTGTTGTTTGCAACAAGAAATTGAACAAGTCCAAAGGATCACAGGGAAGACAGGGCAAGAATCTCTACGTGCTATTTGGTCAAATTCTGTGCGGATCATTCTGCTCATGAGTCCTAGCGTTGGCTATTGCATCCTGGACGATGGGACGCCCCAAATCACAAGAACCGATCGACGGGAAAAAGAAGCAAATACTTTGGGGGATTGTGCCATCTACTCTGCAACCACTGTTGGCGAGTTTTCTAGAAACCTCCGCCGAGATGTGGGTCCTCGCCTTCGGCGCCGTCCTCGGCGTCAGGGAGCTGACCATGAGACCATGACCACCGTGGGGATCGCAGCGACCGCTGGTTGTGGCGGACTCAAGCGATGGCTGGGTGTGGACAGGACCAGCACCGGCTAGTTGGTTTTTTCACTTTTCACTGTTCAACCCTAGTTGGGCGACAGCCGTGTGGCTGGGAGTTTTTGTCAGCATGAATTTAGATCGGTTCAGAATTGCAACTGGTTGAACTTCGAGGGGCATGTGCGCAATGGCCATACGGTGTTGTCGGCGGTTGCCACCTGCAAAGGCCAGGCAACAGGACCTAGGGTGATCATGAGTCGTGAGTCATGAGGGCCCAAGCCACACCACGCTCCCCCTGCACCTACTCTTATTGGGACCTTATCAATGCCCTATCTAATGAGGAGGGTGATTTGGACAAACCTTTGTCCTGTGGTAAGCCTAGCCATGAATCCCAGCTACTGCTATGGAATGGCAGTTCTGTTGTCATAATGTCATAGGGCATGCTGCAAGCCAATGTTGATCGTTTGTCCGGGGTTGCCTTGGACACACACCACCAAAGGCGAGCATCAATGAGATTGCTGCAGCCTCATTCTTGCATGAGTGAGTATATATATATATAATTGCATCGCTTCAAACCACATGCTGCCATGCTGTCTTTACTGCATGTCAGTCCCGGGTTTCGCACATGGGTTAGATTGAGACAATCCGTTCTTTCAGACTCGATTCTGACTGACGATGCCCAAGATTCTGGATCTACGAACGCCCAATCCTTTGGGCCTTGGGGATGTTGCCAGGATCCCCTATATATTGTGTGTTTAATATACACTTGAGTGAGGGAGGGAGTGAGTGAGTGAGCTGCTGCCTTAGGCCTTGCGATCATGAGCATCCCAGAACTGGTCGAATGGCACCATGGCCATCGCCACGAGAAGAAGAGTGCAGAAGATGCAGAAGGCCCGTCCCAACGTTCGGTGTGTGGTCCTGTGCTGGACATGTCAGCGACGTAGGAGTTTGAAGAACCCCTAATGATTCACATCATCACCTCTCATGATTCTCATCGGAGTTTGGTATCCAAGTCATCGTTGTTCACCCCATGATCACCCCATCATCACTCTTTGACTTGGGCCACCCGAAAGGCAGATTGATCCGCCACTTGGCCGACTTGGCCTCGTGACGACTCGTGACGACTCATATTCCTTCGGGATTCCGGTCGGTCGTTTCTGTTGGAGAACGGACCGCATCATCTGCATCGAAGTACCGACCGCACGGCAAACCCAAGCACTGAGTGTGTTTATGATTCTACGGCGTCCTTGAGACCGTTGGACTCTGACCACGGACCGCGGACTGCCCGGCGGACTGCCCGGCGGACTGCCCGGGCGTTGAAGCCATGGGGTCATCTTTTCTTCAGCTGGCGAAGCCCGAAGTTCAAAACAACATCAAGCAGTCCCAGAAATTCCAACGGAGTTCAGAGTGAGTGGATAGTGGGCACCCGAACTCATGTTCAAGGTCTATGTTGGTTTCTCATGGTTTCTGATCCACCCAACCTTAGGAAATTAATCAGGGTCTCCGCCGGTTTCGTATGCGAATGAATATATCTGGAACTAATTTATCCAATTCGTTGAAAATCACAGAGGTATACCCCACGGTATACCCCTCAAACGGAATAAAAAAGACAGGTTCTGACAAGACAGGCTCGACTCAACAGGGCCAACAGGGGGTCTAATTGGAAGGATTGGAACTGGTGGATGATCAATGTCTGGCTGTGGCAGAAAGAATCACAGGGTGTGGCAGGAGTTAACCACCAGTGAATTAGTATTCACGTGAACATGTCCACTGTAAAATCGGTAAAATGAGAGGGGTATGCCTATGATATGTTGCCTAAAAAGTCCCCTACCCCTTGAAGGGGTCAGGACCTAATTTTATAGAGAAAACATGGAGGCTCCCTTAACTTATTACTCAGGGGTGCATGTAATAGCCAGGAATAAATTTCTAGGAACGTGATGGAAACGTTTAGTGAGGGGATCGCTGTTGATGTATGCAACCAATTAGATAGATCATGTGGATCATGACTGACAGATCAGATTAGACCTCAGACCTGGGGAAGGGTGCTGAAAAGCGCGAAAAGATGCGCGGAGCTGTGAATATTATATATATAATCAATAGGTGGTTTACGTCTCATGTACTTTGGATTGGAACTCTGCATAGGCTCATTTATTACAAACAATGGAGGTCAAGGTCCCCTCGATCAATACTATACACTCGACCCTAATTACCCTACCTAATTATACTCGAACATCTCTCGATTAATAAATACCTTGTGTTTTTAATTCAACACTTGCAAGTGTTTCATTCAATTAGCTCAGGCACTCAGATTAATTGAAAACATAATCCTAGAGTAGAGGGGGCTGAGGAGGGCCCCCTTCTAAGGGAGGGAAAATGGTTTCTATAGTCTCCCGTTTACTGTTTGTTGTCACTGGGCTGATCTGCCGGCATCTCATGGTGGCACCCGGTCTGTTTCAATTTTCTCTCGCGCGCAGGTCAGGAACCGCACGTTGCTCGGAACCTTGTTTCAGTGTGGGGCAGCAGTGGGTGTGGGGAGTTGAATTGGTTGGTGTGGTTGACTTCCCAGTTCACTTTTTCAGGGGAGCAGCCATTTGGAAAGATAGACGCAAGGGCCAGTACTTGTGGCTCTTGTGCACCAGCAAGGCGGGCCAGCAAGGCGGCACAGGGCCTAGCAGCATCACCTTTGGTCATACCTGTTCATGGGATGTCGTAGGGACCTTTGTGTTTGATTTATGCTCAGATGAAATGAGATGAAATGAATCCATGAAATGCAGAGATGGCCCTTTCGAAGCTGTTGACCACGCGTTTCGGTCCACTCGTGGATGCGTCTTGCGGGTCAACCCGCGGTGAGGTGCACGCCTATGGCATTGCCAACCTTGCCAGCGCCCCAGAAGGATCGACAAGTGTGAAGAGGAAAGGAATACCAGTGGATTTGACTATGACTATGATTTGGCGATTTAATTGTTTCATTTTTAATTATTCAATTCGATGTTGGATGATATTGATTTTGGTGTATATACATATATATATATATACTGTTTTGAACTATATCAGTCTATATATATATATAACTGTTTGGAGGTCCTTCACCCACCTTTTTCGGGTCGATCCTTGACTGCCAAACCACCGGGTTGACCGAGCGCTCTCCTCGACGTCCACAACGAGGTCACTGAAATGCTCCACAACTTTGTAGATGGCATTGGTTGGGATGCTGAGCCGTTTTTTCCTGAAAACACGGCACAAAGCGATGTGCCTGTCCTTGTGCATGTCCTTTTTTGTTCATCTTCTGCCCTTTCTCCCCCCAGCAAGCCAGTTTTTGAAGGTAAGTTGAGGCGATGTGTCCAAGCAACTGGGGTCCAATCCTTTGGATCTGCGGCGACTTCAGGTTTGGGAATGGCATGGAGAGCAGGTGCATCCTCAGGCGGGTTAACGAACACAAGGAACGAAATAGAAATGAGCACAAGTGCAACTGTTCATGCAGGATCACAGGTTTCCCGGTGTGAAATTTGGCAGCGCGCACTTTTGCACTGGCTTATGGCTTAAGCTGTAGGATTTTCCGAGGAAGTGGGTGTGTCCGTTCTGAGTTTCAAGAAATTTGTAAAACCTTTGTTGATTGAACTTCTTCGGTTCATAATGGTCCAAGATGGAATTCCAGGTAGTTTCTTCTGATTCAACCTTTGAAACCGCAAGAAGTCTGTTGGTCTATACATTGTATACTGTATGCACCAACGGACAACCCAAGAATTGCCGGAGGATTTTCACTTGTCATGGATTTTGCGTTTCGAAATTGTTTCCGATGTTTTTGCTTTCAATTCTTGCCAATGTTTTTCTCATTTTAGCAGAAGTCTTGCAGGCTGTGCCACCGCCCTGGCTGTAGCTGCCTCAGCCTTAGTGGGTGACGATATGCGCGGTAATTATGGATCGCAAGGTCGCAGGGTGGGCCTCCGAGTTTGGTGGCTCAGTGCTGCAGAGTCGGCAGCTTCCTTTTCGCCTCAACAAACCGGGACTGCACTGGATGCGCTCAGCATCCTTCTCGTCGTCCATGGCCCAGGTTTCACGCGGGGTCCAGGATCATGGGCTTTCACGTTGCCAGCCTACGGATCACTGCTGCTTTCATTGCGCAGATCGAGCAGACTGCAAAATTCGATCTGATGGGCGCAGATTCAGTGAACGAGTGTTACTGTAGAAGATGAGTGTTACTGTAGAAGATGTCCCTTCAATTCTAACAGTAACATGCTCAAACTTGATCCGGCTGAGACTTGCCAAAGCTGTCCTTCATTGAGGTGCATGAACTACCTCAGGAGAGTCGGGAGATTTTGGGAGCCTTGTAACTGTTTGATGCTGTGGGTAGGCGTTGATGGACAAAAGATTCCGCACCCCCCTAAATGTTTTTGCAACAACTTTTATATTTCATTCAACCGGAAATATAGGTGGCCTTGGTCAGGAAATTCCTGTGATCATGACTCCAGGATCTTCATTCAAGCCTCATACTCATACCATCTCATACCCGTGTCCGTACTGTTACTGGGTCCCACAAGTAAAGTGCGGACACCTTTGAAGGGGTAACATCTACATACTTCGAACGCTTCCAATTATATGATTTCATTAACCGGTCTATTTTGCGTGATTTATTACATAATGTATGAAAGCGGTTAGAGTGAGCAGACTGGACTGTCTACATATGTTGCCATTTCCCCGACCAATCCAAGTGCGGGTTCAATTTGCTCAGAGACCCGCTGTTCTCACATGCATGTATACCACATCCCCGCTGTTCTGCAGCGCGAAGACGCAGGAGATTGGGGATTTCATGGTGCTCCGCGCTGCTGGCTTTCCGGTGGGCCAACTCCTTGGTTGGAACTTTTTAGCTTCACTGACCTGCCTCGGCGGGGTCGGGAGACCCGGATGAAGAACGTCAACTGGATGGAGGATGATTCTTTTTCTTTCGCACAAGCTGAGTGTCGTTGTTAAAATGAAGGTGAGGGGCTTGCGAGGTTTGTAAGGAGTTGAGCTTGAGTGCGCCTTATGTACGCAGCAGACTCTCCGTGGCAATCTGCTATGCTGGTGGAACCCTTCCTGAGAGAGGACAACTGACGACTGGGATCACTTAATTATATGTTTATCATTTTTAGCACCATTGTGTTTGGTGTAGGTACCTTGCCTTGCTAGTGTTAGCCTGGAGATTTGGAACCTCCTGATCGCCCATCTCATACTCATACCCTTAAACAGCTATATAGAAACCAGCTGAAGACCCTTGGTCATCAGAATCGGTTGACTCTCTCCTTTGGGCCATCCATGAATTCATGTTGATTGGTTTGAGACACCGCCGCCTTCCCACGCCGCCTTCCGCTGCTTCTGGCTGCGCACTTGGTCCCATGACTCAGGTCGGACTGGTCCATGTGCTGGGCCGGGGCCCAGAGAACACAGGGCTGGACTGTTGGGATGGTGAGGACAGATGCTGGGCCGTACAAACAACCGGGATATGATTTGATAGAAGCACTTCCTGCCATTCCACTATATATATATATATAGCATAGCTTCCCACTATTCCACAATTTCCCATCAGAACCTGGGTGAACTTCCAGCGATATCCCATCCCACTCGTGAGGACAGGCTGTGTTTTCGTATTCCATGGTCTATTGAAGCATCCGATCATTCATTGGTCTATGTAATTATAGCATCCGATCATTCCATGGTTTTCGTATTCCATGGTATTTAGCATGCCGTTTTGTCCGTGTCATAGCATCGGACGGGTCAACCATCGGATCACGCACGCAACCTTTTGAGGCCAGACGGACTGGGCAGCCGTGGTCCAGCGCTACACGTGGATGCCCTGGTTGGAGGGAATCAGCTCAGCTTCGCACGGAGATGCACGGAGCACCCCTGCCAAATCAATCATGTAATGTAGACTCTTGATTCATAAAGCCCCCTCATTTGGATGCACGAACTTGCGGACTGTCTGGTCGCTCGCGCCCACACATCCCCTTGCCGGGTTTTCCGGCGGGGTTGGGTGGGAGGTAAAGAGTTTTCGTTTCGGGGTTTTATCAATCAGAGTCTACAATGAGATGACTGCCATGTGGTGACCGGCCAACTGGTGTAAAGCTTGAGAGACCCATCTCGGGAACCTGTGGGGCGTTCGTTGGCAGTGCATGCATTGCCTACACAAAAGGGATAGTGATCAACTCGTCGTTTGGCTCATGTGCAGGAGTTCATGACCAAAAGAAAGAGGCTCCAGTCCAGAATTTCAGGTTCTTTTTTTGGGCATTTGGCGATGAGAAGTGAACTTATGAGAACCGTCGTCACCGCTGGACATCTTCCATCACAACGTGCTCCATGTCTACTTCTCTTCCGGCCCCGTGTTCTAAAAGGTCTTGCCTGTCTCTCAGCCCTTGCAAAAGATATAAAGGAAGCGGAAGAAGCTTGAAGAAATTGAGCGATGTTGGGGTCAAAAAAGGGAGTATTCCAAGGGGCCACTGTCCACTTCCATGATTGTTGCAGGGAGTGGAAAAGGCTTCACCCTCAACATCATTTGTCATGGAAGGCCCTTCCACTTGCAGTGACCACTTCCGGTCATCATATGCTGCGTTGGTCATCATGCCGGGAGGGTGGAAGGCTTGGCTTCACCCTCTCAGGACCGCCTTCACAGCGGGAAGCTTCCTGGCGCTCGCACTGAACATGGTGTTCCCCCAGGCGGGACGGGGGACGCAGCCGGGAAGGTCTTCCAGCTGCTTGGAGTCCAAAGAGGTGGCTTCCGGGAATGCCTGGTGAAAGCACGGGGAATGGTGATGTGATAGTAATTGAGTGAAATTTGACACTGCATGCTGAAGGATGTTGGAACTCAAGTTTCCTGAACAAGTTTAACCATACAGCATGCTGGTGGTAACACTGGTGTTGAATAGTGCTAGAATACTGCTCGAGTACTTGGTCAGGATTGTTTGTTTCTGTTCAAGGTTGCACCTCTTTTTGGCTCATGTCCAACATGTTGCTTTCCAAGCCAGACAAGATGGACAGATATGGACAGTGAATCCAACTTTCTCGGGTTTCACCGATGGTTTGGTCCCTACCTGTTTTGACTGCTAAGCAGCTACAGAGAAGGCCAGAACTCCAAGAACTGGTCCAAAAAGGGTGAGATGTCAGCCGACCATAGAGGTCTATATTTATAAATGTCCGGCCAGGTCACCACCTGGTCACCCGCCAAGTCTCCATTTCAGCCATTTGGGAGACCTGGCAGTGAGGGTGCTGGGTACATACGTTACATCATGTTATATAGCTATATATATATATGACTCGAATTTGCAACGTCGGCGGGGGAGTGCGACCTACCCCAACGGCTTGCGACGCCTCTCCCGGGCTCCCGGAACGCCGGAGTTCCCTTCGCGCCGCTCGGAGCCCTGCAGGTCTCCCAAACGATCCATCAGCACCACCCCAGTGCCGTCGCGCGGTTCTGGGCCAATCTGCCTGGGCCCGATCGGGTGGGAGGGCCTTTTCTGAAGAGGGTGAAGTTTCAGAAAATGCCCAACCTTTGGGGTGGTACATGCTGGCACATCAAAGGGGACACACACACACACATATATATATATATATATTAGCCAGTTGTTGGGTTGCGATCGCTGGGTTTGCTTGGGGTTGCTAGCTCGACACGCTCAAGTGGTTGAATGTTGTAGACCCGCAAAGGGAATGCAATGAATATCAATCAGGGATATATTAAATAATTAATATATAATATGTATCAGTGTAGATTTCTCCTTGCTCCAGCGAAGGTGCATCTAGAACAAATCTTTTGAAGCCAGCATTGTTCCTGAGAGTCGTTTGTTCGACCAAACCTTCACAAGAGAGAATAGAATGGATGGCATGGATCCTCCAAAATTATGCTATTTTATTCACACTCATGTGGGTTTGTTTGAGTGCAGCTGCCCCACAAGCTTGGTGGCCTTCGCCATGGCAAGCACTCCCAGATGTCACGCCCACGCCTTCAGTTTTGATTCTCCGTCGGAGTCCGCCCCCCAGTGCTCTCCCCGAGGCTCTGTTTGGCCATCTCGGTGGCGGCGATTTGGACGTTGGTGTGGATTGGGGAGTTTGAGGCCGATTTTGAGGGCCAGTGATGCTGAAATCACTTGTGTCATGTGTAGGCAATGATGTGGCTTCATCATGCTTCATCTAGGTCCAGGGTGATGGAGGATTGTAAAGGTGATAGTTAGAGTTACACATCAGATCACATCATGGGTCAAAATCAACATCCCATTCATTTGCGACCCCTTGTGCCGGCAGAATATCATGCGCTTCGCTTCATGGCCGCCGTTTTGCCCTTTTCAGGGTGGCCACGAACACGGCCACGGTGCTTCTCACGGACATGCGCATGGACATGAACTCTGAAGCCCCTTCCTTGCAGAGAGCCGGCTTGAGGAGTTTTCGGCTGAAATGCAGAGCCAGTGGAGTCCCTTCGGGGATCATCCGATAAAATTGGAACGATACAGAGAAGATTAGCATGGCCCCTGCGCAAGGATGACACGCACAAATCGAGAAGTGCACCAATTTTTTGCCCGAGTCGTTCATTGCACGCACGCACACACACCAGACTTGTAGCTTTGCTAGTGGGCCCATGTTACAGAAGCGATAGGATCGCTGATAGAATTGCTGGGGATGCATCTCCCTGTCACGCTTGCGAGCTTAGCGATGTAGCGCAACTATTGCTGCTATGTCCTGACACCCTTACTTTAGCTTGCAGTCCAACAAAGAACTCCTGGGAAGAAAACAAAGGCATCCTCCCTGCTGATGCCGACTTGTACTCAGATCCCGCACCTCTATAGGTCTTTGAGGAGATCCTTCCACACTTTCGGTGGTAGAGGTTAGCTAGACTGTGTGAAGTAGCCGAGAAGACATCCAATGCTTGTTTGTTTGCAACGCGTTGGAAAGACATGTTCATGGACTGTCAATGATATTTTCTGTACACTTGCTTATGCAAAAGGCCATACATTATCAATTTTAAAGTTTTCCTCCAAAGTGCTCATGTGTGGGACGAAAGCGAAGCAAGTGCGACAATACCTAGTGGCAGACCACGTTTCTCCACAAACTTTTGGTGCGCGTGACGGTTAATGCCAAATAGGCACAGTGGGGAGCAGGGAGATGTGCAAGGACTAATTGCCAATATAGATAGGTCTGTTACATATTACCATCTGTGTGTTCATTGTGGGTGTATGTGGGAAGCTTGTCTTGATACAATGGTGTCCTCCCAACTGGGGGCAGTCCTTCAAAGGTAGCGGATCCTTTTGATCAGCCCAGGCTGTCACTCTGCCTTGGTGGGAAGGCACGGTTTTTGCCGGCAGATGTTAATCCAAGAGGTGTGGAATGTATTAGAAACACTTATTGGAATGTAAACAGTCGCCAACAAAAAGTGGTGCGTAGTTGGGTGCTTTGCCACACCAGACTCAAATCCTAGCACGGACAACGGGGCTGGAAGGATTCTTTGCCACCTACTTCTCACCTACACTCAACGTGTGTATTTGCAAGTGGGAATGCCAATTGGCAGCACAGTGCTTGACGTACCGTTTTGCGTCCAACTACTTCGGTTCAGGCTGTGTTTGTATGAATAACTTGTTGTGAAACATGGATTCTCCTGGACATCCGCACGCCTAGGGCTAGGCTTGGGTGCCAGCTTCAAGCGGGGAACTCTAGGCGGTAGTTCATGGGCCAGCTCGTGAAGTTCAGTGGATTGCTGGCCCATGTTCCATGATGTTGAATACATCTGGAACACTCCACATACTGTACTTGAAACACCTCACATCATGGGCCGAGCCGAACAAAGGGGAAACTGAGTGGATTTGGACATGGACAAAAATGTTTCCCGTGTCCAGCTGCAGCATGTTCGTCCAACTTCGGAGGTCCTCCTAGTGACTGCACCTCCTGCCATGGCGAGCATCGCACGGCGGGGATGACGATCTTCGTGCGATGACGTCATATCGCTTTACCAACCTACTGGGCGCCACATACAAGGGCGGAAGTTTAGAGCCCCCTGGAGCGGCAGGAAGAGAGGGCACAAGAAAGAGGCAGCCTTTGAACCCGGGGTCGGTGCCAAACCTGTGTTCGTGTGTGCAGGTGAATTGAGACACACGTTTTTGGGGCTCACCGCTGACGAAGTCTAGGAGAAAGTATGTCATGTCTTTGTTCTGACTCATGAGTCTGTCAGAGCCAGAGGAAAATGGTGCTGGACGCAGCAAGTCATGCGGTTTCTGTTCCAGAATAAGTTGGATGATATTCGAAGTCACCGATTGTGTCAGCATGTGCCAGCAGAATCCGCACGTGACTATGATGTTCTTTTTTTTTTTTCTCCCAGTGTCATGGCAACGCTTTCTTTTCATCTCTTGAACTTTTGTGTGTATCCCATGCACTCCATGTATGCCATATATGCCTACATTGGCCCCCCAAACCACCCCAACTGATCGGCATATATGGCAGTCCCATGGAGCGTCGTCGGGTATGATACTGTATGAGTGAGTGTTTTCTCTTGTCTTGAGTCTTGTGGATTCCGAGGTATACTCCTGATGGCAATGTTCTCCTCAGCCCCGTGGGGAACCGGGTGAACGCCGTGGATTTGGTGCAAGGGAGGCCGGACGGGTGGGTTGAGTCCCCCCACCGCAGAGGACCACCATGGACCCCCCAAAACCACTGGGGTTGGTAATCGGAAAAGGGTCGAAACCACCAGGGTCCATGGAACTGAGGGTCCATGGAATCGTTTGCAGGGGTGTACTACATGGCAATTGAGAAGCTGGACATGGTAGGTCTGTTAGCTTATGTGGCCTGTTCGGCCACATGATGGCTGCTGCACGTGGGGCAGGGATGAGCAATTGAACAATCGACTGCAGTTGGTCACATGTGTTTTCCAGAAACTCACTGAAGGGTTGGTCGTTATAAATATAAAGTCTAGAAGAAGGAGGATGCCAGTTAGCTTTGAGTCGAGTTCCACCATTGAGACCACTTTGTGTTTCATTAATGTCTACTTGAGTTGCTGAGTTGCTACCCTGCAGTAAGATGTTGCAAGTCGGCTGATTGTCCAGCAAATTAAGTTAGTTGTCCTGTTTCTACCCTCTTCCAACCGGCCTTCGACCGACATGGACACTTGGCCACCTCACATGCTGTCAAGGTGTGTCACCTTGGAACCGGAGAACCGTGAGGATGTGGCCTTGTTGGCTCTGACGCAGGTGGGGACGTTTCGTGGTGAGGTCGTTTGCACCGTTTGTAACGTTTGCATATCCGAAGGGTGGCGTTGGTAGGAGGGCCTTGGTGCTCAGGAACTTCAGGTTTGTTGGTGTTACAGCTTGTTTGATCTTCGATGTTCTGTTGGATAGCACGGCCCTGAGGATGGACGACTCCTTTTGTCAATTGACGTGAGTGGCCATGCCCCTTGGTGGGGCGTCGAATGCCTGTGTGGGGCGCATGCAACTGTATAATATACATTATACTATATAGACTCAGACTGAGCTGAGATGATTTAGATGCCACTGAGACGATATCTTCCGAGGGTGTACGGGGGGGTCATTAACTAAAGCATCAGGGACAAGACACAGAACCCTCCCTGAATCTGAGGAGGATTATTTGTGTGGGCGAGTTCAATCACGTTGGTCACCCAGGCCTTGTTGATCAATTTCGTGCGGTGCTCTGTGCTCACGCGGATCAACTTCAAGGGACGAGTGCATGCTGCGAAGTGGAGCCCCAATGGCAAATGGCTGGTGGTAAGCCATGCACGAAAAACCATGCTTTGGAGGACGCAACGATCCATCGTGCAACTCATGGTGGTCTTTAGTGGTCTTGGGCCACAGGTTGCAACCTGCGGACGCCACAGCTTCTTGTAGGTTTTGGAGGCTTGTGTTTGAGGTGTTGGGGGCCCTTCAGAATTCACTTCACGTTTTAGGACTCTAATCTCATCTAATCTCTAAGACCTCGTTTATCGTAATTGTCCTGGTGGGCATGGTGGGCAGGACGCCAACCGTTGAGCTTGGATGGCAGTTTGTCAAAGAGAAAGTGGTGGCCGGTCATCACGATGACGTGGTGGACTTCGCTTGGACCTCCAACTCGAAGTTCTTCGCCTCGAGTTCCAAGGATTGGCTGACGTGCGGCTGTTTTGGTTCAGTCCGTAGATACCAGCAAAAAGCCTAAACGCTCACCGTCTCCAGTCCTGTGGGCTGTAATCTGTAATGTTGCTTGGCCCGCGCACTCTTCGCACCTTTTGAGCACTGTTTGGTCCCGATTGTCAGGTCCATGTCTATGTAATATATATCAGAATCAATCAATATCTTCGGGATTGAGGCTGGAAACCTTGGAACCACTCTAGTTTAGTTTAGCACAATTGGATCTCGATTTACATCCAATCTGCAAGTCATTCTGGGTACCGACTCGATGCGTAAGTGGGAGCACCGCGTGACTCCGCAGGACGGCACGGTGCGCCTTTGGTGCACGGAGTACTTGGAGGACTTTCAGCCCATGGCCTTGCTGGAGCACCGAAGCCCCGTGCGTGCGGTCTTCTTCTCGGAGGACCCGCAGGGGGTTCTTTCTTTGGCGACGGACGGAGCAGGATGGAAGTGCCCGTGCCCAATCAAAGTGGAACCATGGACGTTTGAAACACCATGTTCTTCATCACGTGGACTGTTGAGCAACAAAACCCATCAACAAAAATTAATAAACAGGATTGAATAAGTCTTGCAACCCAAATGATTAATGAAGATTCGGCATTCAAGTGGATCTGTTCCACTTCCATGTTTGCTGGAGATGGTGACGGCCTGTGACAGGGAGACCCAAATGACGGGGATTTGGGGGCAGGTTCCCTACCTGTCCCTGTGTTTAAAGGGAGGTGAGACTGCGGGGTTCTACCACCCAGTCTCAGCCCAATCCTGGAGGACATGCACTATATCTACAGCATGCACCTTGTTCGAACGTTGGGGTTGAAAACGTGCCACACTTTCTTTCTGACTTCGTTGTTTTGAAACCTATGTACTACATGCCGGAAGTTGGGCATGCCTCCCATCAGCTTTCTTTGTACTACATTTCCGATTTCGTTCGTGTTCCAATTTGCACAGCCATCCAATGCAATATCCACTGCCCTGTGCAGCTGCAGCTACGTTTGACCGTTTGACCATGTTTGACCCATCTCAGGTCCAGAGATGGGGTGCTGGACACCTGGCTGAATCTGCTCGTTCTGAACTGGTGATGTTTCTAGAGCAGGTGGGTCTGTAGCACACCATGGTAAGCCCAATCAGTCCAGTTAGAAGAGCGTCGAGGGGAAAAGAACTAGCCTGCAACCAGCTATACTTGCCTTGTTATGAATTCTTATAGAATGTTGAAACAGATTTTCTTTGATCGTTGAAGCCTTCTTCCAGCCGAATGTGAGGTCGCTGCCAAGTACACCTTGAAGGAGGACACCACGGCTGACGATGAGGAGATTCACTTCTATTGCCGGCCTGGCAAATGGGCGGTGGAATCCAAGGCGCGTGTAATGAACGCAAAGGAATGGAGTGTTTGGCTGGTGAAGTGTGCTGGCGGTTCAACGGAGAAGTCCGGCAGTGAGGGCAAAATGAGAAGGCTCCATTTCAAGGTCCCAAGAATTCCTGAGAATTTCATGGGTGTTAAGGGCATTGGATGCTGGATGATGCTGGACACCATGACACATGGGGAGGGCATTTTGCTCCCGTTTTCGCCTCTTCGGTCCGACCCACGGACTGGTCGGTTGTTGGAGGCCTATTGCCAGCAGCCCATGTACAACAAAGTCACACGCTGTGATTTCGACCGCCAGTCCCGACTGCTGGCAGTGGGCTTCAGTTTAGGCGTCCTCATGCTGTTTGAGACGCTTGGGGCCGAAAAAAAGGGGGGCAGCACTTGTATAGATGCATATGGCCCGGTCCATGGAGACGATTCATCCCTCGAGAAGGCACCAGGGTTTAGTTCAAGTGGAAGTTCCTCATGTGCATATTGTTATTTGTGGAAGGGGAGTTGAATGTGCGGTTTGCCTCTGCGCTTTAAACTGGGGATTTTTAATCGGTTTGATGGAGGTTTGTAGACTAACCGTAGCCAACCTCCCTGGACTAGAACAGGGATGATCAGACCAATTAGTTCCGAAGAAAGCAGACCAACACCTACAGAATAGTCTTTGGGGGGTCACATCCAAGCATTTGAGATGCATGGCAGAGTTGTCACTTGTCGTTTTTGCTGTGATGGCTCAGGATGCCATCACTACAAGCGCTCCAGACCTTGAGCTTGGGCCAGGAGCGAAGCTTTGCCTTTCGGAAAGGGAGGCAGACAGGCCAATCCTAGTTATCCTGCAGTGCAATTCTCGTATTGGGCACGCATGCAGTACGCAAATATGTATGTACTGTACACAAAATATAGTGCTATATATTGCCATATTCACAATAGTATGCACAATACATACCTCCATTTATTGTTGAAGGCCCTCCAACAATGCGATGTTCCTACCCCGAGCCCACCCAGAATGGACAGTTTCAGTAGCCCTCGCTCACATCAACCCTACCAGTGACTGGTGGACGCGTAGCACAGTCGACACTGCAGGAGGCACTGGATGCCGTGCGCTTGGGGGCCAAGGGTGACTGGCTTGCAGCCCCTTGACGATATAATATGGGGCGCACGACTTGAGTGCAGAACGGATGGCTTGCAGCCCCTTGGGGTGCATGTACTTTCTGGGTCCAATGGCAAATCAAAAAGAACACAGAGCAATTTGATGGATTGCTTTGTGTTGTTGCGATTTTTTGGGCCTTTTGGTTTGCACAACATCGATTTGACCATGTTTCGCGAGCGGTCGGAGGATCAGCTCGCACGTGTGGAAGCTGAGACAGCGGCGGTGGGTGGAAGAAACTTCCGAGTTGGTTCGACTGTTGAGAGATGGGTAGGTAGATGTGGGGGGCCCGTGCCATTTGGGTAGGACCATGGTAGGACCATTTGGGGATGTTTGTCCTACGTGGTCTACAAGGCTTTTAACTACAAACCATGTTCCAAGACCTTTGTTCTCCGAAGTTGATCCTACCTGTAGCTGCAAGCCTTAGATTTGGCGTGAAGATCCAGCACCGCACGTGCGGAACGGGTGATTTCACAGGAACGGGGCCCTGAGATAGTGGGGCGCGCATCTTTCCCCGCTCCACAGGCCTCAAGTCTTCAGCCTGTCGCTCCTGGCGAAAGCCCTGAGGTTGGATCTGGCGCGGTGGGTCAGCTCCTGGTTTGGGAATGGCGCTCCGAAACCTATGCACCACGGTGGAATAAAGCGGATAGCGAATGGAAGAGCAGCACATTGAGTTCAAAGAGGCTGTTGCATGCAGGCAAATATTGGCCGGGTGCATATCATGTAGTATATCAGCACCTTGTTTTGATGTACCCTATATCCCTGCAGCGCTTGTTCCGCCCTCAAAGCTGCGCCAGAAGCTGCGCCAGAACCAAGGTGCTGAAGCAACAAGGGCACCACTGGGGTGTGAAGTGCTGCGCCTTTTCCCCGGGCGCTGTGACCTTAAAGCGCGGCAAGGCACAGGGCGAGGTCCTGAAACATTTGAATCCTTGAATTCGTTGTTATCTCTGAGGGTCTAAATCACCGCTAACTATAGAGCTGCGTATTTGATTTGAAAGCTTGTTGCCCTGCATACTGATGTAGATACAACATGATACAACAGGCCAATCGCGCATTGGTCAACAGACTGAATGGGGGGACGGCTTGACGGCTTGACACGGCTTCCCTCAGCGATGGTAAACACGCAGTCAGATTAGTGGCTTCACCGCACCTGTCAACTTTAGATACTTTTAGCATGACTCAAGTTTCTTTAGTTTCGGGCATGTGCTTGGATGGTGTGACGACAGGCATGCAAGGATCTTTGCCGTTTTGAGTTGCAGAGATCCGGACACCCCATGAATGATGGGCATGCGTTTTTTTTAAAGGACAAAATCATCAAAATCTATTAGTTTTACACGTGTCTGGTTACATATGAACACGGTATCACTCAATGTGGGCGTGGATCCCAGGGCCGCCGGGCCCTCGTCACAGGCCTTGGCCAGCAACGAAGCTCGCCCGGAGGAGCGGAGCAGCGCCCTGGGTGGACGGCTCTTAGCCACAGGCGGATGGGTGCAACCGGCCGGGTAGGCCCATCCAATGGGTGGATGACAGGAATTCCTGAAATTGTCTGGAAGTTGTTGGGGTTCGACCAGGAACAGGGTGAATGTTGAAACAACTATATATATATATATATTTTTTTTTTTGTTGATCACTTAGTGGCGTGGTGGGTTTCGCATGTTTATTGGAAGGAGGAGGTTGGAAAACGAGGGGCCTCCAACAGCGGATATTCGATCCCCACAGGCCACAAGCTGCTGAAACGTGAAACCTGCATCTCAGTGCATCCCAACACTCCTTGACTTGGCATTCCGCTGCCTGGATGTGCCAAACTCCTCAGGATTGAAGATCCAGCTGCCTAGTAGATCCTAGTGGTGTGTGGAAGGGGGTCGTTTGGACCCTTGTGATGATGCGGCGTCCCACTCTGGGCGGTTCTTTCACCGGCCAGGTGGCTATGATGGAAAGGTGAAGCTCTTCAATGCACAAAGTGGCCTTTGCTTCGTCACCTTTGCCGAACACACGGCGCCCGTGCAGCAGGTGTGTTTCACGCCTCAAGGCCGGTTCGAAGACCTGGGGCAATGAAGTGAATTCAAAGGTGGTCGCGAAAGCCAGGTGAGTCATGTTGCGAAGTGCTGGTCTTATGTCATGTTCCGCTTCTTCATGCTTCTTCCCTTGCTCACCTCCCCAACTTCACCTCCTTCACCCACAGGGCTTTCCACTTTCCGAGCCTCCACGGGCCTCCGTCTTCGCCAGGCAATGCGGTGCTGAGCGCCTCCGCGGACGGCTCGGTGCGTGCCTTCGACCTGCTCCGCTACCGGAACTTCCGCACCTTCGCGTCGCCGGACGGGCTGTGCCAGCGCCTGGGATCGACCTGGTTCACGGCCGGTTCGGTGCACCGGTCGGTCCGTGGGGCCAATGGGCTCATGAAGATAAAGACCGTTCGTTCTAAGAACGAAGGTTTGAATATCGTTTGAAGTTTGAGATTGAGGGCTTCAGCCAATGGCCGAGGTTCTCCAGTTTGGCCGTGGATTCTGGGGGTGAGATTGTGGCAGCCAGCGCCAAAGGCCACGATCAGGGACTCACGCGATTCCTGGCGAGAGCGATTTGGATCAATTTGTTGACGTGTTTTACTTGCTTGTCCACAAGTTGTTCGACTCGCACGTCGAGTTGCGCCAGTTCACCCAATTTGTTCCTGGTCCTACGCCACGCTGTCAAACGGTTGAAGCAAGTGTTTCCACCTGGTCAGGCGGGAAGTATGCCATCTATGTGTGGTCCATCCAGACAGGGAACATCCTTGAAGTCCTCACTGGCCATACATCTCACGTTCAAGCCTTGCACTTCTCCCCCTCTGCGGCGCACCCTGGGCAGCTGGTGAGCGGCAGTTGGGATGGCACCTTGAGCCTCGGCGGTGACAAACCAAAGGAGAGGAACTGGGTCTAGAACGCTCCAAGATGTACACTCCCTGGACCTGACATGGGAGTGGAGAATGGCCCCTTGCAAGACCATTTTCCACGACTACAAACAGGTGGTTTTCCACGTAACCATGTTAGTTCCAGGGAGAATAACCTCTGCTCGGAGGTTGTCTTCCGCGAATTCAGAGATGCACAGAGCCCATCCAGACCCATTGGTGCAGCTTTTTGGAGCGGAGAAGCGAAGGGATCACGTTCGGGTCCTACACATGCGCAGCTCAATATAGGGTACTCCTCAAACCCCCAGCAAATGATTATGATATATTCTGATAATGGATGGAATAGAACCTGTGGGGGGTTCTATTTTGGAGCCGCATCCACTTGAGCTTCACGCACTTGATGATCCTCCCATTGGCATATGTAGCCGCACAACTTGTGTCAGTGTTTTCAGTAGACAGTCGTTGATCCTAGTCGTATGGTGGCATGGTGGCGGGCTAAAGCCTATCGCGCCTGAAGCGACTATTCTTCACCATTTAGTTTGTGTTTTGGGTGTTCACATGTCGTACTGCATGTACTGCCAGATACCCTGAAAGCCAGGACCCTGAGCATGAACCCTTGCGTTTGCCACGATGTCTCGTAATGTTCATGGATATCCCCCTTAATACTGTGAGTGACGCTCAACCAGGAACGTGTGGGACCTCTATGCGGGCACCCGCGGTGGTGCGGCAGAGGCGCTGCAGTGCTCCTCAAGCGTGCCATGGCACGGAAGAAACGAGCAGTGAAAACATGTGAAAACGAGCATTCGGATTCCGACTGGAACAGTCAAGACTTCGAAGAGGTGCGGGTTTTGCTTGTGGCGTTTGTTCCACGAAGAGTTTTTCTATTTTTTTGGGGGGAGACTCACCATGTTTTTGTGTGGGTGTTCATGCCCAAGCTTTGAGGGGGCTGTGTCCAAGGAAATGTTGCGATGATGGGTGAGGAACCAGAGCCACACTCCACCTAGCTAGGTGTAACTATGTGTAACTTGTTGCTTTGATTTTGCACCTGCTCGCACATTGATCTAACAAAACACACTTATATGTGTATATACACATTCAATCACATTCATATAACATATATATATATATATACTGAGGTAACTGCCCCAAGGATCATGACCCTTTCTAGTCAGAGAAACAAAGCAATCCGACCAAGACAGACAGATGAAGTACTGAGGATTTATGGGGCTCATGTTGTATATGGCTTTGTGTGTGCAGCATATCTAGGGTTTGTTCTAGACTAGGGGAAGTCAGGGAGCATTTGGTTCACGTTTCTTCTCCAGCCAGTGCTTGACCCAGCCCAGGTTCTATGCGTTTCTTTCGACCCCCGCGGCAATGACCTTCTAGCGGCGAGCTGCCTCTCTGGACAAATTCTTTTCTGGAACGTGACCACGGCACAGACGGTGGGCTCGATCGACGGGCTGCGGGATATTCAGAGCGCCCGGCAGTGGCATGACGCTTGCATTTGTTGATCAGATGTTGTTGCCAGCACCTCCCAGACAGGCTTGCAGACCTCCTACCATGTGTCCATTTTAAAGCATTTTAAAGCCAATCCTGTCGGAGTTGCTGGCAGATGATGTTGTTTCACAGCTGGAAGCACATGGTTGTGGAACATTACTGCTACACCCAAGCCATTTCTGTCAGCACCGGCCCTTCCTTTGCTCGGTGCATCCGAGGACATGTTTTCAGCCATCAACGCCAGAGGCGTCAAAGCTGGACGTGGCATGCGCAAACGAAGCTTGGCTCGGAACAGGTCAGCTTGGCTGGGACGCGCGACGCGCTAGGGTGTTGGTGTCATCGAGGTATATAGATGGAGATAACATGAGATAACTTACGTGGAACCAAATTGAGTGTAATCGCATGCCAGAGTGTCTCGAAATGAGTCCAATCGGACACTTTCGCATGTGGTACATCCCCTTGATCTTTGAGGAAAAAGAGTGCGAGAGTGATATCCAGTAGGTTACAGTAGTGTTTTTCTTCTGTTTTTCTGACATGTATATACTTTCAGTTTTCTTGCCGGGTACTGGTTTCAACATCAATGCTATCAGGATCCCATCGTGTTTTGTTCAGATGCAAGCTTCACCCAGATGGACCAGTGACTGGTCTGACGAACATATCCAAGTTCACAACCATTTTGGGGGCTGCGTTGCGCCATCCATGGTGAAATCACAACAATCAGTCTAATCAGTCAGCATTGTCGGGCTTTCGTGCCGCCATGTCCATCCCCCAACAAACCTGAACATCAGCCTCAGACTTGCACAGTGATAATTAACGTTATAGCTCCCCTTACCTCCCTTTGTTGCACCGTGGCCACTGGTTACCGGCATGACGGGGAAATGAACAACAGGTGAGACCTTCTTCACATCAGCAGATTCACCCAAAAGCATCTCAGCGTGGTCCTAAGGCAATCCCACAGATGGGCTGAACTTCAATCAGCATTACAATTCGATAGCCTATGCCAAAAGTGGCGAACTGCTCCTGTGCTCTTCGCAGAATTCGCCTTCGGTCTCGCTCTATGAGCCTTGGAGGTGCTGAAGGGAACTTGCCCAGCAAGACAGGTTGATATCACGAAATCTAGCTTCAGCTACATGGACTTACTCTTGTTTTAGCAATTTTTTGCCTGGGGGATGGATTCGGCTACCCAGTGAATTATCCACTGCTATACCCCCCCTCCCCGGCCTCCTCCGCAGGTTCAACTCCCCTTTTGGACCTGTCAGATTTGGGAGCATAGTGGTTTTGATAGCATCCGTTTAGGGGCCATTGTGTTTCACAGGATCATGCCGCGCATCCCCCTTCGTTTTAAGGCCATGTAATTAGATGCAGCTAGCTTTCGTCACCAACCCCCGGCCTCAAGTATAGAAGGCAGGTGTTTTGTCAGGCCCTTGCACATGTTTGCTTTTTGGCTCGAGGATACCACATCATATGCATTGACCTCCAGGGTGACACTGACTAGCAACCGGAGCTTGAGTGGAGTTCAGGCATTCCTGAACAGTAGCTGGGCACAAGATTGCCTGGTTCCAGGCCGAATTTCATGACGTTATGGTCTTGGTTCTGTTGGGTTTGATGCTCACATGATTTCCAATCAGCACCTGCTGCATTCTACTCCTGGCAGATTTGATGTCCTGCCCACGTGCCTCCCAGGTAAGTTCATGACAGAGGCTGGCATCTCCTGGAAGCAGTACGACCTGTCAGACAGTGAGGCAGATGACCTCCAAGTCTTCAAGGAACAGGCGAGGTCCTGGCAGGTCCTGCAAACTTTCGTCTCAGAGAGAGAGAGAGAGAGTAACAAGTGCTACCCCAGTAGCAACAGGTGCCTTACTAGTAGTAACAAAAAGCTATTAGAAACAAGTGCCTTACTACTAGTAACAATAAGAATTTAATTAGAATTCTAATGGTAAGGCACTTGTTACTACTATGACAGACAGACAGACAGACCAGACCAGACCAGACCAGACCAGACCAGACCAGACAGACAGACAGACAGAGAGAGATAGAGAGATAGAGAGAGATAGAGAGATAGGTAGATAGACAGATAGATAGAGATATAGATATAGATATAGATAGATAGATGACAGAGAGTGAGAGATAAGATAAATAAAGCTATATATATATATATGTATATGCATGTATTTGTTTATATTTATATACAGACACAGGATCACACAGGGCAGCTTAGTCAACCTGGATCGAAGGTGTTTCCGCCTCCTCCTCCGCCTCCTCCTCCTCAGGCGGACCTACCCAGAAAATATGTTCGGGATTTGACGGAGCTACTGGCTAGTCCGGTTGGATACCCAAGCTTTCGACAAAGACCGTTGACATGGGCGAGTTGCAGGATGATATGCCTCTAAAGAGGTCCAACTTTGGAGTTAGTAGTGCTTCTGGACTTCTGTGCGTGAGAAGGCCGCTTGGAAGGAGTTACTGCCCGCCAGTCAGCAAAATCGATTGGTTAAAATTACAAGCCTACTACTTCATACATCACTTTGATCCCAACGGAGGAGGTAGACACACTTGAATTTTCGGTATATATGTTGCAGCTTGGCACCGGCGGTAAATTCCCCCTTACATTCCGTCGACGGGCTTTGTCGAACGGCCATCCTGAGCACCAGCAGGAGCGGCGGCGGAAAGCACTTGCCTTGCCAGGCGTCTCGGTTGGAGAAGCCAAAGAGCCTTGCTCGCAAGATGGCACAAGTGGAAGGCAAGTTTGGTTGAGAAAGTGGGGACCGGAGCCTTGGGTTGGATAGCTTGGGAAGAGCCAGTGGAGAACATAACGAGGCTCCGTGATGGTCTGTTTGAAGGCAGCTACAGTTAAAATATGTTAAAATTGAACTTGTCCCATGTTGTATAGCTTTCGCGTTTGGAGTAGGGGCCCTTGCTGGCTATCATCTTCCGCTGGGCTCCCTGGGGTCAGGGGCTTTCTAGAGAAAACATCCAAGGAGGTAAGTCAATGCTCCACCCTTTTCCTGGTCCACCCAGGTGCTTTTTCCTCATCAGCCCCAGGCATGGGCCACGTGTTCACCCCGATCCATCCAGATCCACCCAGGATGCCTACTCCGACAAGGAGCTTCATCTTTGGAGTGTTGCCTTCAGTGCTGATTCCCAGCAGTTTGCGGTGGCCACCACTCATGGGGTCTTCGTGTACAGCCAGGCCGGCTGCCTGGAATCCTGGAATGTGAAAGCACGCGACGCTGAGAGAAAACGACACATCGACATCGATCCTGGAAGACGCAGCAATAGGCTAATTAATGTAATTGAATGTATGTAACGGAGCAATGAGATCCTGGAAATGGAACACGCTAGAAATATCCTACACTGCTGCTACAAAAGACACAACCTGGCCCAATGAAGAACATTTGTCCTTCACACAGCCAAAGTTGGCGAGAATAGAAACATGTATATTATATAGTTTTATTTGTCACACTATAATGTGTTTAAACTATTTTTTGTATATTGCGTTGCATTATATTGTTTGCATCCTCTCCAGGATGCTGGTGGCATCGCGGGCATCTCCGGCGGGATCTATGGCGGTGACAGTCGCTTCGTGCCGCAGATCCTGACCAAAGCGGTGTCCGCACCGGCGGTGCTGAAGGCGGACCACTGGCACACTGGGAATTGGTGATTTTTGGTCCGTGGGCAACGAAGTACCCCTAAAAGGGTCCTGAGATGGGAACTTACCAATTTGGGGGTCCCTCTCTCTCTCTCTTTCGTTTTTTTGCCTATAGGGGGCCTTGCAGATTTCCAGCCTCGTTACCCATGCTCCTTGACCGGGTCCAAGGCCTTGGAGGACGGCGAGATCTCCAAGGCAATGATCCTGGCTCTGGCACTGAACGACTATGCCCTGTTGCGAAAGGTCTATGAGCAGGCGTATTGGGTCTTGCCGGACTAATATTGCTGTCCACTTGCGATAATCCAATGTATAGGTATAATAGCATATACATAGCTGTAGTGCGTGTAGACTAGGTCCTTGGTGGTGACACATGCGACCTTTTTGTCATTTGTGCTATTTTTCGCCTGCTTGCTCAAATCAACAAACTCCAGGGGTTCTTTCGGGTCCCCTGCGCCGTGCCTCCCTTTTTGGGTCAGCGGTCCCGGTCCCGGTCCATCTGTGTCTTCGCAGGTCCCCGTGTCCTCCATCGAGCTGGTGGTCGCTTCGATCGGTGCTCCCTTGCTGCCGGCGCTGCTGCGGTTTTTGAGCCTTGAGCCCCTTTGCTGCGGAGTGGACCGATGGAGCGGTGAAGAAACACCCAAGGAGACCATGCGAGACCCAGAGAAAGAATAAGTCCAACCACTTGGGGAAAAAATGTAAACTAGATTAAACAACTAGAATTGATATGAATTGATGGGCCATTTGGTTGGACCTAATTCTGTAAGGGCACATTAGGACCACCAAAGGCCGTTTGGGAAGCAGACATGAAGTGCCGCTTGAAACATTGGCAGGGCCCACACGTCCAAACTCCAAAGTCGATTCATCAGAGAAGGCTCCAGGCGAGCTGAGCCGCTTTTGAGCTGTGTTGCGTTCGCAATGGCAGTTTTCAGGCTGAAGCCTCAGACAGGGACGCCACATTATCAGTTCCACGTGCTTTGGATCTCCTCTTTGATCGATCTCCACTTCCAGACCTTGCTTGAGACCCTTGGACATGTGAACCGGAATGGGGTGGGAGATGCTGGGAATTTGGACACACCTGGGACGCTGGAGGGGCTACAGTGGAAAGAACCTGGGGCAACTTCGGGTCAGCTTGCGATTCTCAGCTTGAGGAGGGTGTTGAAAAGACAGCTATATAGCTGCCTAGCTTAGCAACCTAGCAACCAGAAACGAGGACACTGTCATGAAAAAGCGACGGAACGCTGTCAGACAGTGCTGAGCAGAGGATTGGACGGTTCGACAAGTACATGCTATTCATGGCGATCCACTGAGAATTCACTAATTAGATATCAACAGTCAACTTACTTGAGTATCCACCTTGCCACAGGCATTGAGGGCTCAGCGCAGAGATCATCATGTTCATGCTTCTTTTGGCACCAGGGCCTGTTCGCAATTTTTTGCCTCGAGCGCTGTAACCGGCTTTGATTGAACCCTATACAGTACCACGTAGCTCTGGAGTCAGGCCCTGATCCCTGATTGCAACTTCTTTTGTATCTTTGAATCGTCCCCTTAGCTCGTCGCATTGCATTGCTTGGTGGCCCTACTTATTTTGCTTTCGGAGTCTGGATGACAGGGATTGAAGTTTGAGGGATTCTGAGGGTATTCTTATCCAAAATACAATATTGTGAGGTCTATGCATCCTAAGCGAATTCTGCCAACCTGGAGGCTAGGTTGATGGGTTGATGCTATGTGTACTGCAAGGGCAAGGTTTGGGCTGCACATAATGAATCTATATACTAAGACGTCAATAACAACCCCCAACATCCCCAACCTACTTTGGTCATAATTCAGTTTTAATTCAGAAACCGTCGCAATACCCAAGAGATCTGTAAGGCCCCTCCCCTACAAAAGAATCCTCACCCCATCACATGCATCCCTTCAGTTCGCTCAATCCCACTTCAGTCCGCTTTGGAATCACTGGGTGGCGACCCAGGATGAGCAGCGGCCGGGCGCTTCGAACTGGTTCTTTGGAATCCTCCAGCTCCGATGTGGCGGCACTATGCTTGCAGTTGCTTGGGATACGATCTAGTAAATCTAGTAAAACCGTGAGCCAAACATGGTTCTGGTCTTTGTTTTCCACTTTGAGCGGTGTTGGAGTGAGGATGCACTTCCCTGGTGCAATCAGTGCGCCCACTTTGGAAGGCTCCGTAAAGAAAAGGAGGGGTATTTATTTTTGGATTTTTTGTGTTTTTGCTGGTGGCTTTTGGCTTTTGGTGGCTTTTGGCTTTTGGCTTTTGTTTCTTTGTTGGCTTTTGGTGGCTTTTGGCTTTTGGGTTTTGTTTCTTTGTTGGCCTTTGATGGCTTTTGGTGGCTTTTGGCTTTTGTGGCTTTTTTGGCTTCCCTTGCTTCAAAGCGGTGCTGCTAGGAAGGAAAGAAGGAAGGAAGGAAGGAAGCATGTCCATGGTTTTGAGGGCATTGTTTTTTTTAAAATCTTTTTTTATCCAGATGCCGTTCTCGGTGGCTCTACCAATTCACCAAGCTTTCAACCTGCCTTCGCTCTGAAACATTCATATGTCCTGCCGAACCCCGCTCCAGTGGAATCCATCTATCTACCTTTGTATACGTGGGCTGGACAGAAAAGAGAGTTCATTCATTCGTTCATTCATTCATTCATTCCTTCCTTCATTCCTTCCTTCATGCCTTCCTTCCTTCCTTCATTCATTCATTCATTCCCTCACTATATTTTGTTTTCATGGCGGAGGAGGCGTTGCGCCGTCCCCGTGCCCCCTCCCACTTTTTAATTTAGGTGGTTGCTTGCTTCATGTGTCAGCATGCCCTGGGTTTGCCGTTAACTAAAACAAAAAATGCGAAAAGGCAACATGAAAAAGACAAAGGGAAAGGCAAAAGGAATTAAGGAAAAGGAAAACATCAAAAAACAAGTAGCTTCTTGTTCCTAGTAGTAAGGCCAGGAGCCCCTAGTAGCCTCCTTGCTCCTAGTAGCGATGCCAGAAGACCCTAGCAGCTTCTTGTTCCTAGTAAAGAAAAAGGAAAAAGGCAAACCAAAACAAAAAAAGGGGAACGAAAAAAGGGAACAGGACAAAAAGCAAAAGAGAAAAGGAAAACGTAAAAAGGACAAAAGGAAAGGAAACAGAAAAAGGAAAAGGGAAAGGGAAAAGGAAATGAAAAGAGCAAAAGAAAAAAGGAAAAGAGAAAACACATAAATAAAGTCAAAACAAAAAGGAAAGGGAACAAGGAAAAGGAAAAGGAAAGGAAAAAAGAAAAGGAAGAGGAAAAGGAAAAAGGGAAAAGGCAAAAGGAACAGGAAAAACAAAAAGGAAAAGAATACAGGCAAAGGACAAGGGAAAAGGAAAAAGGAAAAGGAAGAGGAAAAAGGAAAAAGGAAAAAGGAAAAGGGAAAAGGAAAAGGGAAAAGAAAACGGGAAAAGGAAAAACAAAATAATCAATGGAAAACAACCGAAAAAAAAATAACAATAAAAAACGAAAAAGAATCCAGAAATAAATTCGCAGCCTAAAGAAAAGGTCCCTCAACACAAGCTGGGGGACAGACACGTGATGATTTGGGGAGTACCTTATTGCAAGTCAGACAGCCTCAGGTCAGCTTGGTCCAGTTTTTGCGTGGTTTTGTTGTTGAAGTGTGTCCAGCACTTAAAATCGGCACAGCTGAGGCTGCTGGTGGAATTGTCCCAGAGACATGCTGCCTTGGCCGATATGAATGAACCCAGGGTCCTGTCAGTCAGAGTCCAAACGAAGGGAACTCCAATTCTCTGGAGCATGGGTTTCCCGAACCTTTTTTAATGACAGAACAGGATTGACCCTTTTCAGGATTGACCCTTTTGGCCGCCCATATTTTCAGCAGCTAGGCACCATCAGGCACCCATACTGATCACGAGGTTCCCATCGGCTTCACATGGAGTGGTGGAGTTTGTTCTGATATTTGATGGTTTTGGCATTGTTTTTCTGGTGGTGTACATGTCTAAGCGCTGGAAGGGCCGGGACACTTGTGGAGGGAGCCATGCGGGTGTTATACCCCGTATATAGGGATGATCATGTGGTGGAAAGACCGAGTTGGCACATTTGTTCAAGAAATGTCACTTGCTGGGGGCGATTGATTGCTTGCACATTCAACCAAGAAGCCGGTTGCGAAGTTCGTTCGTGCGGTGACTCTGGGCCGGGCCTGCAACAAGTTTTGCCTTTATATGCCCTAAGGCACTATTTGTGTTGCACGCGTTTGCCTTTCGAAGTTTCATCCTGGTGAGTTCATAAATGCCTTAGCCCAACCATCTTTCACGTGCTAAGGCTGGTATGTCCAAAATCTTTGAGAAGAATACCTACTCGCTGCGCATCTTGGTGACAGCAGGTTCGTTGTTTTGTTGGTCAGTTGCTCGCTCACATGGTGCACGGTCATTGTTCCAATCATGTTGTGGTGAATTGGAGTCTCTACAAGTCTGGTCTTTGGGCAAGTTGCACAATTCGCTGACACAATTCGCCAATTGGAAGAACCCCATGCCAACCTGTCACGGACCCAACGACCTTGTGGCAGCTCAGGATTCCTGGGCAGTGTGCCCAGTGAGACCGGAGACGAAGAGGTAGGGAATGAAGGTGGGGAGGCTCAGAGAATCACGGAGAGGGACCAGCGCGCCCAGGACCGCCGACCAAGGACAGCGTGAGAAGACGATGAGAGATACTCAAGAGGCCCACCACGAATTTGAGGCATGTGTTTTCACTGTTTGATGCCGGAACCCTCTACCTCTTTTTCGTCAGGGTATTCGGATGTGATTAGAGGAACTCAAAAGCATCACGGTTTCCTCGTGCCAAGAGGAGGAGAGAGAAGATCAGAACTAGATGATGTTGATCCGGAAGTTGTCAGTAAAAAGTGATCACTGCAGGTAAGGAGATCAAGGAGGAGACGAAGCCAGCTCCAGATTTAGAGGCGATACGAGCTGAGGGTTCTGGGTTGCTCTGGCAGCCTTAGCCTGAAGGTCACAGCTTGGTCGCCAGCACATACCGAATCTTGAAGTCTTAATGCATCAAATGCAGGAGAAGGCTGGTTGCAGTACTCATTATCCGACATATTTTCAGTCCGGGAAGATACCGAGTTGCCTTTCTTCTCAGCCAAGCAGCCGGTATCGAACTATATAGAGAGCTCTTTCCAGCCAACATCCCGCCACAGAGGGCCCGCCTGCTTCACACTGACACCGCCCTGAGCGCAAACGTTGACCAGCATCGGACAGGAGGAAGCTGAAGCCGAAGCTCCACTCGTTGAAGAAGCCCCTGGTCGACAAGGTTGCAAAGAGGTGTGTTTCATTTTGGTTTGCGGAGGGGTGCGCTGGATAAAGGTCAAGGGGGGGTGCCTGTGAACCCCTCTGTTCAAGAAAGTGCCCAGGCTGATTTCCAGCTCATATACCACACGTGGCTATATTATTTTGATGAGTAGGATTATGTGTGAGAGGATGCAAAAAGGTTTATGCATGCGTGTGTTATGTTTCAATGACAGTGCTCCACAAACTTTCGATTCTAGCCCACCAATGTGGGGTGATGACCGCCGTGTTAAGTGGTCGATGACACATGGTGACATGGAGCTGTCGTGGTACCACTCCAAGGAACCACAGCTCGCTGCGCCAAAGAAAAAGAAGAAGCGCCGCTTGAATACCTGAGAAATGCCTCACGCCAAAAAAAAATGTGAGTTTGCTGCCGACGATGTGTTGCCAGGTGGATCTATAGACCAGGTGAGAGGGACATTCATTGATGTTTAATCAGATCTTATGAACAGGAATAGCCGAGCCTGGCTCTTCGTGCCGACCAAGGAGAGGTCATTCCCCAAGCCCCAACCACTTACAGACTCACAGAGATGGAGTTTTCGCTCACTCAACTTCTTATGAACTCGTGCTTAACCAAGGCTGGGACGCTGCGAAGCTTGGGGGGCGGTGCTTCATGTGAAGCTCAGAACCTTCTCTTTCACCATGTAGACTCGACAGAAAAATACCCCCCTGATGGTGGCACACGCCACAGGTGGGAGACCTCCTCGGGTGGTCGCCCTTGCCATCTCATAGGGTTCAAGAAGCTGTGGAGTGGAATGCTAGCGGCACAGTCTCACACCTGAGTTGTGAAGAGGTTCAGAGGTAGAAGAGGTTTCACCATCCAAATGGTAGTTTTTTGTGATATAATTCATCGATCATTTGCATTTAACTCGTCCTTCCCCTCCCATGCTGATTCACTCCCGAGCCCAGACTGAGCCGTTCCCCTTCTCCGCGGCAGGAGAGGGAGAGGGGTGCTTGTGCAAAAGGGCCCGCCGTGCTGGAGGTTGGTGCTTCTTCGGGGAAAGAATGAACCACATGAACACCGACCCATTGAGATGCGTTGTGGGCCCCATGCACCATTCTCAGTTGTGTTCAGTGTCGGGCCCCAAGGCCAGATGGGTTTCCCTCGTGTTTCGCTGGTGGACTGGTTCATGCGTTGAGAGACCTGTGCGGAGATGCGATGGATGATTAGAGCAGGCCAGCAGCTTACCGAGTCACACAGGCCGGTGTGATTGCAACCTCTCAACCGGTCAACCGTCAATGAAAAACCGCCCCTTTGCCGCACAAACATCCCTTGTGCCAAAGATGTTCTGGCTAAACACGTATGGTGTGTTTCATTTGCTTTCTTGTTTCAACAGAGACTGAGAACCGTGCACCGGACATGTCCATATTTTGTGTGTACATGTTATTTTTGATATACCCTAGGGCTCCCGGATGCTCGATTAGAAGGCATCTGGAGCCTGAGACCTCACTGAGCATGTTTTAGGTCCAAACCCTCTCTCAGGGAACTATGGAATTTAACGCACCAAGGTTTTCCCCCTCATGTCCATGTGTGCCGACATTTTTTCTCATCAGCGAGCCATCTCAGCTCAGACTTCAGCATCGAACTGTGCCAGGCTGGAGTCAGCACAGAGCCTGTGGGACAAGCTGTTGATTGGACTTGTTTGGTTGCATGCATGTTGTTGATTGCACTGGTTTGGTTGCATGCATGTACCATTTAGTGCGAACAAGTAGCCCTAAGTACCAACGAAGCATGGCGGATTCCTCCAAACGTTGACGTTGGGATATCGATAAAGAGTCCACCAGTCGTCCGACGAAATCTTCAACATGCCAGCCCGCGCTGAACCTGTGGTTCAATCCTTGGCCGGTCGATATATGGTACCAAAATTGTTGGAATGTGTTCATGTGCAATGTCGTACTCAGCTGTACTGTTCCATCCCAGGGACTGTCATCTAGCTGCGCCCGACAAATTTCCTGCCATGCCTAGGATGCATGATCCAGCAGTGCATTTGGTTAATCCCTGGTGAGCTCAATTGTTCAGGGCAAAAACCACATGTGACAAGTAACATGAAACTTGGGTCTCGATGGAAACCCAAGCTCTTCCTTCTCCAAGAACAGTTCGGCCAAGTCAATGTATGCCTTCATACTCCGGTCCTTTGGTGGTGATTAGTTTTCACACACAGAAAAGGGCACCCCAAACTTATAACGATCAGCTTGATCCATCTAGATCTGTTAAATGTACATATGCCAGGGCAAGAGGTGCATGGAACGAACCCTGGAAAACTCAGAGCCCTAGTTCATACTAGTGTCGCACAAGCTAGACATCCTCTCAGCCACGGATTTGGTGAGGTAATGGCCATTAAGCTCGGCGATGCGATGGAAAGAGGCCAGGCAAGTCCTTAAGGCAGTGGGGTTCCGGTCGATTGGATCGGCAAGTGGGTGTGGGTCGGGGGTGGTCACATGAATGATTGGAGGTTGCTCCACAACAGTGGTACAGTGGTACCAAGTGATGTCGCTGGCTGCAAACTGCAGCAAAAATTCTACTTTATGTGGCCTGCAACCTCACGGCTTGGAAGCAGTGGCTCGCGAGTACACGTTGGAACCGCGACTGTTGTCGGCGACGAGGAATCTCAGCCAGGCCCTATGGATCCATGTGTGGTGGCCCACAACCCTCATATCATGATCTCCTTTTGACGACTTCGAGATCGTCTACAATGAGAACTCATATGGTGTCAGGGGCCAACATCATTTGCTGACATGGCATGGTCATCGAGGACGCCCAGAAGATCAAGAAATATTAAGAACAAGTGCCAAGTGTCGCGCACTCCTGCATTGACTTCAGCATGGTGTCGCCAGGCGAAGCCCTCACAAAGCCCTGCAAGGCATCAGAGAGCCATGCAACAATGACACGAGCCTTAGATTGTTGGCTGCAAACATGTCGTTGGACACCAACCTGGATATACCCCATCCCCCTTCAGATTGCCAGCTTGTCAATTGCAACTACTGTAATTCATCGCTAAGAGAGTATTGCGGGAATGCAGCGCATCAAAAAAGCCAAGAGACGTTCCAAGCCTTCGACTGAAGCTCAGGATACGGGTGCTGGTAGGATCGCAATCTCTTCGGAGCAAATCGTGGCACCGAGTGCCTGGGATGGTTCCCCATGGGTCATCTTTCCCATGATTAGCCCATACGTCGATAAATAAGCATCATGAAGACCTACTGCAGCCCGTTGGAGTGTCAAGAAAAGTGCATATGGTAGCCGAGCAAGGATAAGAGTAAACCCCTTTAAATACCTACTGCAGCCCTAGTGAGTACTCAAGAAAAGTGCGTATGGTAGCCGAGCAAGGATAAGGGCAAACCCTTTTTTGAATACCTACTGCAGCCCTCTTGAGTGTCAAGAAAAGTGCGTATGGTAACCAACCAAGGATAGGGGTAAACTCCTTTGAGCTCCAGAGAAAGCTAGCACCTAGCGCCAACATCCAAACAAGTGGCTGCCAGTGGTGTAGTCGGGCCCACTGTCGAAACTGTTGCCACCCAACCAAAAGCTTCTGGGTGTCATCTCCATCGCCCCAGAAGTCATAGGTTAGAAGACAGCTTATTATGTTTCCGGCAACGAGCAAGTCGATCCCGAGGCAAAGAACATGCATGGAGTCAAACCGAATGCTCTGCGGGATCCACTTCGGGAGGTCAAACAAGGGACCTTGGATGAGGAAGTCAGCGGCGCCTTTCATGGGTGGTTGTGGGGATCTAGTTCAATTGCAGCTGCAGATGCAACCATCTAGTTCAAAAAAACTCAACCAGACAAACATTCGTTCGTGTAATCCAGGCACATCGTCGCCCAGGTTTGACACTGAGCCGAAAAAAGTCATCATTAGAGAAATGTGGTCGATCTCGTAGTCGAGCTGGGCTTTCCATGAACGTGTCTTTGTGCGCAGAACACATGTGGCAAATGTAGTTGCATTTGTACCACCTGCTGAGTTGAAGGATCTCCTGAGCTAGCTTAATGTCTAATAAAACATATGCAACAAACGCACGTACTACATCTACAACCAAGAATCCACAAGATATTTCCAATCACCCCGAAGTTCAGTCACCGCGACCTTCAGCTTAGAAGATTCTGACCCTGAACTGGCAGATGGTGCCACACCATCATACAGGTCCTGGAACGATTTCACAACCTTAGGTAGTTACACCACCAGCGCGGGCCTGTAAACTCCAAACGCACCAAATGCACCGTGATTTAGATCTAGTCAACAGTGCAACGGGTTGCTACTGCAGCTCAAAGTGCCCAGTTTTTCTGAAATCATCTACGTACACACATGCATTGTTACAAGTGCAGCGACGGGGCAGGATCAAGGAAGGCCCACATGGTGTCAGGACCTGTGCTCACATCCTTAATTTGAAACCACGGAACTATATATAGTAGACCGATCGTCGTATATATATATATAGCACATCAAACTACAAAGTTGAAGTTCGATCATGTGCAAGGTTCATCTCTGCAAAGGAACAGGGGAAACGTGTGTGATCGCTCTTCATCTAATACGAATCCACAGGTGAAAGCTGTGATGCTCTCACCAGACTCTGTAAACTGCGCACCGTCACCCCACAGGTACATAGGTATGTGACTTCCATCACTCATACCCCCCAATGGAGAGCCAACATCTTTCAAATGTTTCCAGTAGCACTCTGTGCTGGCAGCGTCCAGCTTCGGCCAAATCCCACGGCGCATCATCCATGGGAACAGCTTGTGGGGAACGATCACTGGCATTGGCCTGGTCAGTCAACACAGGCATGAATGATTGCAGGGTGGGAATGTCGTGAGTTGATTAATTATCATTTGATTCGGCCTCTCATTAATGACATAGTCCCCATTTGACTCCAGCTCCCAGAGAGGAACATATACTTGCTCCATTGGCACCTTGTCGATTGGTTCATGACAGTCTTCTAGCAATGAATACACGAGTTTTGAATTTAAGATTTCGATTTCACTGTATATGTCAAGACACCTGTAAATCAGAATCCATCTTTGATAACTTCCGAAGCACATCGCGTTTCACATTTTGTGGATGTTTCCCAGATGACCCTGAAGCATTCAGGGAAGCACATAGGCCACTCAAGTGACCAAGCCCCTGCCATTCAAGTTCCTGCCACAAGAAGTTTATATATATATGCACTACGATATGCAAACACAAATAGTGGTCCTTGGACACATAGTGCATGGTCTCTTGCGCCTTTTTGAAGGACCAATCCTCATGATCTACCCGTAGAATGTTAGTACCCACACCACCGCAGCTTCAACAATCAAATCCGCTCAGTGTCTCCCATGCCACTTTGCTTCAACAGGTATGATGACAAAGGCGATGTCAATGCAGCACCTGCGAGGTGTGGTGACTGCGGGGTGGAGGATCCCACTAAGGGTGCAAGGTGTGGTGACTGCGGGGTGAAGGATCGCTACGGGTGAATGATGAATCAAACGGTGCAGGTTTGAAGTACAGTAGATTTGTAGACTCACCGCATCCTATCAAAAATTGTGCTCAAGACACGGGTGTTGAGATTTTTTCCTGTGACATCACACCAGCTCGAGTCTAGGGTGATCGGCATTGCAGGGCAATATTCACCCCAGCTAGCGCGAACTGGACATGACTTGTCCTCGAAATCCCAAAAGCCTGATTGTTTGGCTCAGGCCATGCCATGGGTCAGGGCCATATACACCATGGCTGAAACATCAAGTTGTGCTCCACCCATTGGCCAAACCTACATGTGAAGCTATCTAAACATGTACGGTCACCCCGACCCAAGATCTCCAAATCGACACCCAGCGCTCTGCTTGAGCATGAGAACCGACACTATTTGGGAAACACCTTTGTTGAATTCAGGAGTTTTGGTGATGTCCATCTAGTTCTAGAATACAGTCAACATACACATGGGTGCTCATCTTAGAAGCTGCTGGGCCTACAGCTGCTCAGAACCCGGGATCTGCCCAGGCCATCATTGGACAAGTTCCACTGCAGCAGGCACACTAGCTGCTTTCGCTTTCGCTTTGGCAGCCCCCTTCACTTTCGTCACCGGTGGTTCCTGAGCTTTTGCTGGGGCACGATCGCTGTACTACTAGTAATACAACACATCGGTTGCAAAGCGAGTATCAATCGCCAACTTGATGGATTTCAATGTACCATTGTAGCTTGTCAAAGCCGCTTCACAACTCCGAAGGACAGTCTCCACTTTGGCTACCAAGTCGGGTCTATCCTTGACATCATCCAATCTTTGAGCATACAGGGATTCAAATTCACCCCTCACACTGGCCAAGTTGTCTCTGCGGGCATCCAACTCCTTGCGGAAACCATCCTTCAGCGTAGATGACCTGGGCTCAGTCGGGTTGTAAACATATACCACGGCCTAGAGTGAAGATGCCATGATTCCAATGACTCTAGACTTATACATTTTAGGTCAAGGGACAACTTGTCAGAGTCAGAGACTCTGGCTGACCATGACATGATCTCCGCATTCTTGGCACTAAGTACCGAGATCTTGGCAGCCACCGTTTGTGCGGCAGTCTTCTCCTTTTTGGGCCTCCTCGGACCATTGTCCTCCTGCTGCAGGCCAGGCTTCAAGTCGGTGGCATCAGCATGGAGCCCAAGAGCCCCCGCTTGCAAGCGGTTCATGTCAGCTGCGGTGGCCTGCTGCCTGACAGTTTTGGGCACATTTGGTGATCCCTAGAGGTGGTCCATGAACATCTCTATATCGTATATGTATATATGTTCTGCAAACTTGTTGGGTCTTCTGTCTAGATATCTCTCTCTCACACTTGGGGACAAGATGCAACACCTGACGGGTTTGTGCCGCGTCAAAGGACCCTTCAGCGCTCAGGGCCATGCTCAGCTCATCTGTGCAATCATCCTCATACACGAGCGAATCCCAGACCCTCACCAATTCCAGGTCCTGCGTTGCAGGAAATTGTGATGGGAGGAAATACAGGAAAGTGATGAGGGCGGGAAAAAATCTGCACAGACTAGCGGGCATTGTGCATTGGTAGCTGACTGAAAACAAACGCATATCTTGCAAACCCGGGTCCTCCTTCCCCATACCCTTGAAGTCAGGGTGCTCGCACCAATAGACTATTGGATCACCCTCCTTTTTTTGCTGTTCGAGATCCCTTTTGGCATCCCGGAGCTGGCGTGCAACGCCAGCTCCGTACAGACTCTTCAGATCCTTGTACATGGACATCCTGTACTTCCCACGGCGTTTGCTCGAAACCTTGCGGCTAGAGTTGATGACAAGGCTCGATTGTAGCCAGTCCTCCCCTGCACTGAGGAAATCCTCATAGAGTTGTCCAAGAAGTGCCCGGTCTGAGTGCAAGAAAACCATAGGCTAAGGGGGTCCCCGCTTTAAGGACAAGTTCTACAGCATATAAAAAACCTATTTTTTTCATCTCACAAGACCTTGCAAGAGGGGATAACAGAACACCCCAGCACTAAAGTTTGCCGGTGTGGTGTTGCAATACATGATGTATGTACATGTCTCTGAAAAGCCCCTTACTTCTTTGATCCAATAATATGCTGTATGTTCAATTTCCTCACTAGCCCAGGCACTGTGCTTCTTCCCAGCTGCTGCTTCCAACACGACCTTTGGACAGTTGGCTCCTCAGTGGGAACGGTCAGATGTGATGCGGGCAACCATCAATATGCAACTCAATATAGTGATATCAATGACCACCAAGCCAGCATATATAGCTAGCTAGCTAGATAGCTAGATAGCTAGCTAGCACGTTTACATGCAAGATAGATTCGCTTGAAGCTTCTCGAAAACCTCATGTATGCATTGTGGGCCATCCTGGCTTCATAGTCCTCTTCAGTCTCGATTTGGCCATCTGAACGAATACGGAGAGGTCGTGTTCGCTCACTGGCTTTGGGGACCTTTGCCTGACGATCAACATCAGTATATTTCACGATCCGGTAATGGGCTTAAGATGACCCAACCATAAAGTTTGTCGCTATGACGCTGTGTCTGACATCAGTTCTATAAGGGAGAAATACACTGACGTGCCTCCAGCTGGGTCGTGTCCATGCGACTCATCAACTCCACATGACCACGTAGGTGTGGTGTCGGTGGTTCGGATGCCCCAGGCTCGATCTCCTACATAAAAAAATAAACACATGAAAGGAGGCCCCTAGGTTATAGGGTTTGTTTGAAGTAGATAGCACCATGCATGTGCATGCCAGCCATGACCACATTCAGAATCCTTCTCCTCCACCCCCTTAAAGTTAGATACCTCAGCGTGATCACGCAGGCGCTGGCTGGATTCAAGCTCGTGCTCCAAAGAGGCCGGGATTGACAGGGCCTGGCAGGAATGGGTTGATCATCTATGAACATGTGGTGCATGTTTAATAAGGTTGGCGTGTCCACTAATACCAGCTCAGTGCCATGTGTTTTGTTACTTCCAGCCTCATGGTGTTGCGGAGTCACAATTGCTGGTGCTGGGCGAGCCTGGCTAGAACGGACTAGCTGATGATACCAACGCACCGTCACTGCGACCACATTTGCACATGTTGCGCACTGTTTTGAATTAAACAAAACATCGTGAGCCTGGCTTGCGGAAGCATCAGCCTGTGCAATCGCAGATGGTGATGCCGACACCACCTGGCCGGAATAGGTCGGTTGAAGAAGACCAAAATACACCCCAGCTATCGATCGATACAGATGCGACCACCGGGGGAGGTAAAGGTGGTCCTATGAATCATGGTGTGTTTGCAGAAATTAGCAGAACATCAGCTGAGTGCCGCATATGTGTTTGATCGAGCCTTGGCGTAGTTCTCTCGGACAAAGTCATCCAAGTCTTTCATCAGCTCAGTGTCTGCATAGGTAGCGTCCACCTCATGGACTGAGTGTATTGGATTTGCATCCGTCTCAGGCTCCATAGCGGCTGTCTCAATCATGTGGTCAACCATGTGGCGAAGCTGGTCGGTCATGTCTGCAGAGACTTTGGTGAAGGCCAGTTCCGCTTCGAGGAATGGAGCGATCTTGTCAGTCTTCCAGGAATTGATGGTGGCCATGTGGGCCTTGTAGAAATCCGTTTCCTCTGGAACCTTGCCCGGAAACAATTCCAGAGCTGTCGTATGCTGTCGCGCCAGCATCGTACTAGCAGCAAGGTCAAGCTTTCTCTCCGTAGCTTGTCGGTCTGCGACCATGACATTGAGAGTGGATTCCCTATCCGCCAACTGCTTCCTCAACGCACTGACCTCACACACTGCATCAGCACGTTGTGGATCCAGTTGAGCAATGTCTCCCAGGTCATGACGCCGCTCAACCCACATGGACACGGCTTGTACCAGTTCTGCTTGAGAAGCCGACATACCCAGCCTTTTCACAAGCCCAACCAAAGGCATATCAAGACTGTCAGATTGAACCATATCCAAATCTTCCATGCTGGCACCCAAGGGCAATGTTGTCATAGTGCAGATGTCTCGGCTAAGCCCTGGTTTCTGGTCCATGGATGGCTCCATGACATCACCTCACGCAGGATATATGGCATACCATTGTAAACTAGCACTAGTACATATGTTCTCGACTTTTCTTGCATCGCATAATATTAATTAGGTTCAATTTTGTTGACTAACAAACAGTCTGTTCAGCTATGTAGTCTGGCCACCAGTCAAAGATAGCGTAGATCGATCGTTGCCAACCACGCCAGGAACCTCGGAAGACAAGGCTCATTGGGTGGAGCAACTATGGGTCACTGGTCACAGGGTCTTAACGGTTCATCCACATGTGAAACTGGTAAATATTAGTACATCCAAGGGACACCTGAGTCCACCGGCATTGGATCATTCGGCTCCACAGCCGCAACGTGATCAAAGGCACGGTTCAAACTCTTCTTCTCATGCACAATGACTTCCGTTTTAGAGCGTTTCATCTCTGGACTCTTGATTGGGGTTGATTTGGTACTAGTAATCTTCTCTGGAGACATGGGTTTTGCAACAGCATGACTCTTCGCAGCCTTCACATTTGGTGCACTAGGCACCGGTGTTGTAGTCCGAGCTGGAGTGGCAACTGGCTTATTGGGCTTCGGCGGTGGAAGGGAACCTCATAGTACACGTTGATCAGCGTGTTTCACGCATTAAGTGGATTCAAACCATACAAGTGCAAACCATGGGACCCAACTTTGCCCCCAAACGCTGCTCCAGCTTGCTAATCTCATCATCAGCCTGGAAGGAGTCGATAGATGACGATGATCTCACCTGGGGTCGGAGAGCAACATCGACTTCAAACCAGGATTTGGATGCATTTGGATGCATTTAAAGTGTTTCTTGAAATAGTTGGACACGTCATAGCATCTCATGAGGGGAAACATTACATTCCAGCAAACAATGTTTGAAATTCAGACTGGGTACAACGGGTGCACCACGGGCTTTGGCAGCAGTGGGAGGGCTTTTGGTAGCAGTGGGAACGATCGGCGCCATCACCTGACAGGTCCAATGCCCCCACAAAGCTATCCCACCATTTCACGCAAATTAACGCAATTTCACGCCGCGTTTTGGCTGAGCACGCACTTTAACGCGAATTTCACGCAGGGGCTTGGATGGTAAAAAACGAGTTCACAGGAAAACAAATCGCACCCTGCCTTCTCCCACCGCAGTTCCAAGCTCTCTCAGGCCCCAAATGGCCCCAAAAAAGGGAAAAAAGCTGCAAAACGAGTCAGCTTCACTGCTTTAGATGACACACATCCCTCAACTTTCATTTCCAGCTGCATGCCAGGAGATTTCATACCAAAAGTTGCTTTTTACTTGCTTTTTTTCAAGATGCACACTTGCACCGAGTCGCATCTAGCAACAAGTCAAGCGTATATTGGCATATGTCAGCAGCTAAAACCACTGAGCTCAAGAAGTTTCACTCCAGTAGATTCTAGGGGGAATGGGAGTTAGGTATATATGCCGTATGTATATGCACACATATCGAACTTCCCCACCAAACCCAGCAATTAATAGGAGTGGCTGAATTGTGCAACTCTATACATCAACCATGCACTGGTGTGAGGCCAAAGGTCACGGCACATGGCAGTGGCTTATGCACCCTCAATCCAGGCATTTGTTAGAACTTGTTGCAACATTGCCAGGATATGTTAACATCTTATGACCTTTGACCTTCCCACCTCGCCCTCACTTGTTCAAACACCTCTCGACTGGGTGTAACCTGTACTGGCACAAGCGGGTCAGGCCGAAGCTTCTTCTCACGGATAGCATCCTGGATGAAGATCACCAGCGGCTCCAGGTCAGCGTGGTCCCAAACGCAAGCGGGTGGATCCTGGGCTGGCGGATGTATGGAGAACCCCACAATGAACATGTATGACAGCCTCGAAGTATTAAGGCTTTCATGACTCATGTTTTGGAACAACATGGCACCGTATTACTGTATATATAAGCAATAGATGATGATAAAAATATATAGATGCTAAATATGTGTCTTCCTGCATAAAGACCTACATTGCATCCAAAAATCTCGAAAACCGGCTCTCACAAGAGCTACAAGGTCTGGCAGTGGAGTACCCGAGTCCTAAGCAAGCCAGTGTTAGAGTCGGTTTTGAATTTGCAATCCACCAACACAATTTTCGATGAAGGATCGGGATGTGGAGAACACTGTGTAACGGTTAATTGTATTGACACAACCAAGACACCATAAGGGATAGATGCTTGGAAGCAACCCACCGGCCAAACTCTCGAGGGTACATAGCCGATGAACGTAGATCCTTTCCACCAGACCTGGTGTTCTTTTTAAATTTGCTCTAGACACCACTGTTTGGTGAATCTTCAATCCAAGAAATGGTTGCTTCTACTTCGATATAATAATATATAAGACAAGTGGCACTGACCTTTTCCCAGAGGACTTGGACACGGATTTTACCACAATCTCCTTGTTTTGCGCATCAGCTCGACGTTTAATTTCAAGCCGCATAGCCTTGGTGATCTTCTGATTCAGGAAGGGCATCCAGGGCCTCACCACAGAGCGCATCAGGCACAGGGTGCTACTGATCAGAATGCAGTCGACGAATGGACTGGTGGTCCCAAAAGAGAGCCAAACAAACAGAGCTCTAGAGATTAATAGCAATCCCATATTAAGATATACGTTCAATTCATCGATCAAGCATCCAAACATAGATGTTGTTCTTCCTAGACTCTCAGCACACTGGTCACAATGATAATTTTCCACTTGGATTGGCTTGTGAAAATAGACCCCTACAAGTCCGGTTCCCCCCCCCTTCAAAACCTGCATTTCAATCAGGTCGAACCGGACTTGTGGGGGTCTTTTTTTGCGGGCCAATCCCAGTGGACAATTGCAACTGGTCAACTTCTTTGGGTCCCAACACATTGCCA